ATGTTTCGCAGAACTTCACTATGAATTATTTATTATTTAGAATTTCCAAGGGAAAGATAATACAGCCAGAAGTGGTGTACGACTAATTAGAAGTACGAAAGAAGTGGAATTGTTGGAAAACTAACAATATTTTATTTCTGCGTGCTTCTTTTACTGACGAATCATCCAGATTCTCTGAATTTCCTTCGATTTTCACGCAGAAACAAACGAAATAATCTTTTTCTAGGTTATGTAACGAATTCAGAACAAACTTAGTGAATAATTCGCATTCTAGTGCATAAATTCTGCTTCTTTTTGACAGAATTAAGCATTCACAAGCAATAAACAGTGATTTTTGATCCTTTGTTGCCAAGAAACACTGCAAATTGTGCTAAGATTGAATATAACCTCAAAAATAGTCATTTGGACTTGAAAAGGTCCCATTTATACAACTTTCTGGATAATTTTGATTGTGAATCACTCATTTTAAGATCATAAGAGATGATTTTGTGCTGTAGAAAGCTTTTAAATGGAGTCTTTGAAGATTTCTTAGTTGTATTTGTGAGGTTATGTTTGGAAAAGATGTTCAAAAACAGCGAAAACTTGAGAGATTAATTATAATTTGGAAATCAATGTGGAAAAAGACTACAAATTTCATGTTTTAGAAGTGTCAGGCAACTTTGGAAGTGTTCGGAAGTGTTGCACAGATTTTAAGGCATATTATCTCCACCTTGAGATTTTCTAGTAATGCAATATTTCCTCTCCACGCTGACAAATCTGATGTGATTTCATTGTGGGCGGTGAGACATTCGAGAGGAATTCGGACAGAGAAAAAGTGACGAGAAAAAAGACGGAAAACCTGAAACTGCGGTGTGATATATTTTAATTAATGTATGAATTGGGCTTATTAGTTCAAAACCAACATGAAATCATCGGTGATTTTTCTCAGAAGGCGCGAATAAGCATTTCAAATAAATGCACATATAAATTGCTGCGTGATAATGTCACACGATGACGATTACAAAATCAAACTGGCTGATGATTGAACCACATTAAGTGGACATATTGCTCAAGTGACTTTGATGCTGTAAACTTGACCCAATACACAACATGCCCATGGACCCCAAAACACGCCATCGTTTCCCCCTTGGTGATCGATTCTCTCTGTTTTGGCGTCTTCAGGGAGCTCCGGTTCGGGTGCGAAATGCCAAGAAATCACCTTCAACTCGATCAAGAGATGATTTCTTCGTGTTTCCACAATCAATTCATTAATTCTGTGCATCAGTGACAATACCGGAAATTCAAAAACAAAACCGAGAATGAGATAGGTGCAAAATCGAGGGACAAGAGTGGACTCAACAGTGGAAGATTTTGGTGTTGAATTGAGAAGTGAAGAAACTGTTGTGATCTTCGAGACAATCATTGAGGTCAGAAGGAGACACGATTTTCTCTACTGAAGTTGCGACTCTTTTGGCAAAATGCACGGCAGAAGGAATAAACTCTGTGCAAAGTTGTCCAGCGCTTTTCTTCGGAAGTGGTGTAAGTTTTATCACGCAATTATGCTTATTGGCCAGATTTCTTGAGAAATGACTCAAGAAATACTTGTCAAATGGAAACAACTTTCAGTTTGTTTCGTGACAAAATTATACTGTGAAGACAATAGTAATAGACCAACCATCTAGCGGATGTTGAGGGTGTATATTTATGCTTATGCAACTGTATATTAATTTATCTATAGAAACTCTCTATTAGTCTGTCGCCATTGGCAAGGGCAAAAACTCATCATAAATTCTCGGCATATTTCAATGGGTTTTGACGGTAAAATCTTGGGTTTGCAATGTGAATTCTTCTAATAGATGTCAACGATAAATCACCGCAGGTAAATCCATCGCAGAAATTGCCGTTTGGGTGTCAAGAGAAAATTGCATTTGCCATGATGTGAAGAGGCATTTTTTGTGCAATCGCGCGCTGGTGTTGATCCGAATATCAATACCGAAAATCGCTCATCTCTGAAATACATAATGAAGTGCCCTGAAAGTTTTGTGCAACGCGCCAAGGTGGAAACGTGAGTTGTCTGAGCGATTTGTACTTCTTTCGCAACGCCATGCAAAGTGTTTTGAGTGGCAGCATTGACCCAGTGTGTGTGTGCGTTAGTTCAGCAAAAATCATTTCGATTAATAAAGTGTCGATGCCTTTAGGTTCATTTTTAATAACTACAAGTATATCGTCGAGAGATTGGGCGCGATAACGAGATTTGGACAACCTTGTTCTCAAATGCTGTGCCTTTTTAGAGCCTTGGCGGGAACTTTTGGATGTTTTCTCACTCCTCTCACCTTCTGGCTGAAGCATCCAAATTATCGCCGCCGGAGATTGGCCACCGATCCGTCACTCTTTGTCCTCATGATCAGCAAACCGACGAAGCTCTCTTGGGCACGCAATTCTGCGACATTTTTAGCCGGTTAATTGACATTTTTTGCGTTTGTCTCGCCACGAGGACGCTTTGGGTGGGGAAAATCGGAATTTGTCACTCTCAAAGTGGACTTTTCTTAACAATCCCACTGACTGTCAATCATCATATTGTTGAGGGAATTGCACTATGGTTTCCCTGAGAGAGTTTTAGCGCGTGTTGCAAGACTGACCTTCTCACGAGTGAACCTCGAAGAGAAAATTTTTAACAAAAGTGATAAAATAAAATTGTCGAGGGGTCAGTGAATACAATCGAATCTTTTTTCTCTTCTCTCTGATGGACAAAGACGCGTTGGGACGGAAAATCCTCCCTTGTCAACAGTCGCGCGCGTTGTGTATATGAATTCTTGTGGGAAGTTGCATGACTCGCGAGCGGCAGAAATTCCCACAAATTGCGACACTTTGGAAGCAAACGACCACCTTCTCAATAAAGTGCAAATTATTGCGAAAGCCTCGACTATGGATATTCACGGCGCTTTTTTCTCTTGTCTTTTTTGACGGATAATTAAATTAAAAGGCGCAGTATAAATAGCAAATGAGCTTCTGGAAGATGCCTATTTTACCTGGAAACGCTCAATATCTCTTACTTAGCATTGTGATAATAGACGCCAATCGTGTGAGAATTTTGCGTGAACCTCTCCATAGAAAATATCTTCGTGTATTATTGACATACGACATGTGATTTTCGTTTTATTGTATCTCTCGCATTCCCGCCAAATGGTGTACAAACAATACTCAGGCATTTTCACATAAATTGGCTGATTTATTGAGAAAATAGCAGCCATCCGAAGATCAACAGCATCTACACCATCGCACAGGTTTCATTTCAAGATGGCAAACAAGATCAACAAGCTCAAAAGTACTCAATTGGCTGCTTATAATGCCGGGTTGACTTGGAAATTTACAGCAAAACATTCCACTCAAAGTGCTTTCATTTGTGATAATGTGCAGAAAGGGAATTTTCAACTATAAAAGGAAATGTTTCAGAGGAAGGTTTCCCTGTATTTCAACACATACACATTTATTTTATTATTTTTACTGTTGCGCAGCACAAAATGTTTAAATAAAATTGTTGAGGGAAAATTTGCAACAGGAAAAAAGAATATACTTTGTTGTATATCAACAAAAATATATAGAATATAAATTCGGAATAACAAAGTTGAAGGTTACATTTTTGTTAGAACATTCACTGGGATGTTGAAATGTGGACTTGAAATGTTTTTTCGATGTGCCAATGAAATGTTTACTTTTTTAGAATGTATAACTAAATATTTTTACAAGTGAAAATCTCTGGGCAAAAGAGTGCTAATCTGTACCACTTTCTCTGGGGGGCTTTAAGAGATGCATAATGAGGCAATTTCCTAAAGTCAACACGGTTTCTCAATAATGCAGTTTTCAATTTGCATGAAAGCCCAGACATCGAAGTGTGTTAAGGGAGTGAGCAAGAGTGGCTAATTTAATTGGTCAGGCTGATTGACAGGGCATTGTTGCGAGCCATTTCTCGGCGTCAATTTACCTGGTTGTGTTGCAGTGTCTGAATCTGAGGTGTCTGAATTAAGTTGTGCATGAAATTCTCGGCGAAGAAATGCAAATCCGAGAGTGGATTTCACAGAGTGCATCGACTTGACTCGATTCACACATGAAATTTCACATTTCCTGACACACAAAAAGAGAGAGAAATAAGAAGTATTGCGCGGCAAAAGGACAGAATTTGTTGCTCAAAATATATTTCAATTAGTTTCGCCTAATAGATTTCATCAGAAAAAAGTCCGCTTCGCCCATGAATTTTCCCGCGGTCCATGGGAAAATGCTCTCAAGTCTCTCTCTCTCTCTCTCTCTCTCTCTCTCTCTCTCTCTCTCTCTCTCTCTCTCTCTCTCTCTCTCTCTCTCTCTCTCTCTCTCTCTCTCTCTCTCTCTCTCTCTATGTCAATGAGTTGTCCTCAACAGTTTTGATGTTCGCAACTTTACGAGGGTGTCTAATGTGGAATCTCATCTCTGGATCGAGATGCGGATGAATTGAATCGTAAAAGCATCTCTCGTGTTAAACCACTAATCATGCAATCAATGCTAGTCCAAGCGACTTGGCACGTTTTATTGCGTTGAATAAAATTCTTGATTACTGATTCACGATTTGTTCCTGAACTCTAAACTCCTCGCAAACACACTCGGGGATTATTCATTGAGATTTCTCACACTCTCTTCTCAGCACAGCACGTCCGGGAAATTGACCATATGCCCTCGATTGACGCCACAACGAGCTGAAATAGCTAGCAATTGTCCGAGCATTTCTCACTCTAAATGCACGGACAAGTGTCCAATGACCATATCTCACCTTCGCGGAGGCGAAGAAGCTCACAACACCTTGCCAATGGCATCTAATTTAATTACACCGCGAGAAATTTGTGTCCAAATATGACGATGAATTTAAACAATAACGGCAGTACAAGATGCTAATTAGATGCAGGAAACCGTTGCCAATTAGGAAGACATTCCACAATTACTTCTCAACATTTTAACACCCATTAATCTCGTCATTCTCTTCTCTGTCGTTGCAGGGTTTGTCATAGCCTTCGCGCTGTGCCTTCTAGTTTTAGGTGTTCTAGTCACATTTGGATTCTCAGCTCTAGTTAGATTAGTTATTGACCACCAAGTGGCTCTTCGACCGGGCGGACAGTCCTTCGGGTGGTGGTCAAAGCCACCCGTTGAGCCCTTCATCCGCCTCTACGTGTACAACGTCACCAACGCCGATGAGTTCCTCAACAACGGCTCCAAGCCCATCCTCGACGAGCTGGGACCCTACGTCTACTTGTAAGTAAAGCCTCACGTTTCCCAAGGGGAGATAATTTGGTCAGAAGTGGTGTACAGTTCAGCAGAAGTGGAAGTGTTCAAAAATTTACAATCTTCCAGATTTTTACGGAGAAATAGAAATATTAATACTTTTCTAGGTTATGTAATGAATCAAGAATAGATTTAGTAGATAATTCGCATTCTAGCACATCAATTCTTATGTTCATAGGCAGATTTCTGCAATAAATATTCCTATTCTGCATCGTTGATGCCAATAAACACTGCAAATTGCAATAAGATCGAACATAACCTCAAAAAGAATAATGTGAATTTGGAAAATGTTTATTTAAGAAACTTTCCGGATGGTTTCGAGTCTGAATTATCAATTTTGAGTTCTTTGCTAAATCATAATAGATGATTTCGTAATCTAGAAGGGTTTTAAACGGTGACTTTAAAGATTTCTTAGAACTATTTTTGGGGTATGATCGGAAAACATGTAGAAAAATCCTCTTTCACTGGTTTCTGGCCAAAATATCTGACAGCAATCTAAAAGAAATTGACTATAATTTATGAATAAGCGTGGATATAGTCTGAGAATTTCAAGTGCTGGAAGTGTTAGGAAGTGGTGTACAGATTTAAGGCATATTATCTTCCCCTTGACTTTTCCGACTGCGCCGATTGAATTTTAATTCATGCGATAATGCCAAGCGGAACATCATAATTTTTACAAATAAACCAGCAACTGCGGATTTTGAAATGAGTAATCATGAATATTAAAACATCTAAACTCAGAAATATGTAAATTGACGTCAATATTGTGTTGAAATTCAACACTCATTGAGCGTCAAACAGTATTGGCGAGATATTGGGAAGAGATTTGAATATCTGAAGCAAATAGAGAAGTTGTCTTGCAGATTTTTGCCGCGAAAAAAATATGGTAAAATCGCGTCATGGCGCGTTCTTGAGTAGATGGAATTTTTCCTGAGTTTGCTTAGAATATGGGAATTTGAAGGGCACGCAGAGTTACACAAACAATATTGATTTATCGATTGATATGACTCATATTTTGCCAAAAAAAAATGTTCGCAGAGTAGAAACAATAATAAGTCTCCAAGATATCAATTTCTGTGCTTTATCAAGATTGCACGTCCGCTTTCTTTTTACAATTTCACTGCGGTGCTTTTGGACATTCCCGGCGGGAATTCCTCTTTTCAATTCACCCACTGAATTACGATTATTGCCTCACGAGAGTGTCGGCGAAAAGACAGGCCAGAAATTCGTTATGCAATGTTTTTCATGCAGACGCGATCGCGAAAAAGTCCTCTTGTGGGCACATTAATTGTCTTAAGCAGACATTGGGAGGCACTTTCGTCTGGCGTTCTTCAATTTAACACATGGATTCACATAAGATTTACCGCCAACCAACAATGGTAATATTGAATTTTTGCTCATTGCGCCGAACATGACACAAATTAACTCAACTCTGGTTGACTTTCTAGTGTCAATTAAATTTCTTCTCACACCTGTGCGACGTCACCTTGATGATTTCCTCCACTTGGGCTCCTCCTCTTCACGTGATCGCACAATTTGTCCGGTGAGGATGTTGATTTTTGGGCTCGCGATGGGCAAAAGAAGGAGGAGAAAAAAACAGCACACAAAACATGGAGTGAAATATATGCTAAAAATGTGTTGATGTTGTGAAAAAAAAGGCATTGCAGAATCACACACGAAGAGAGAAAGTTGCCTCACAATTGCGATATTTAAATTCCTTTTTTCCATACGTACTTCATGGCGTCTTTTGTATATCGACTTAATTTCTTTATATCCATCGATACGCGACCTTTTCCACGGGCGATGAGGTTTCACAGACAACCCATTGTCGGAGTCAAGAGTCTGTCAAATTTCCAGTTGCACAAGAAGTCCCCAATTAAATTTGCTGAGGTCAATTAAGTCACTCCAAACCAGACTGCCACCGAGTTTGTCAACAGATAAAGCCGAGGATTACTCTCGTGTGCTCTTGTGCCAACAATCTGGCTCCGCAAGAGTCCCTCTATTGAGTTTTCTGGCCACACACAGTCGGCAAATTTAATTTATTCACTTGTCTGCACTCTTGCAGCATCTTCATTTCGCCCAAAAAGCCGCGCAATTCGAAGGTGTTGGCCGGTTTTTTGTTCTGCTCTTTTTTTCGGCCTCAGCAGCGCTAAATACCATCACGAAGAACACAAACTATAAATAGCAATTTTTGCGTAAATTACATTATTAACACTCGCAGTGCAGAAATTTATCGTGAAATGCTGTGCAGATGTTTTTATTTCAAAAGTTTTGACAGCAATATCGTATCAATCTTTGTTATTTTGCCATTTTACACACGAGAAAGTGACTCATTTTGGTTTTTCTTCAATGAACGTGGAAGACGCACTCAGAGAAGCAACTCGATGGAAAAAGCGTGTTAAGAAAGAGAAGAAAAAACCACATTGATTGCGCAGATACCGGAGAAATGTATAATTTTCAACAATAAGAGCATCTTAAATTGTCTCAGCCCAGTCGAAGATTCTCTCATCGACATGTTTCTTCTTAATATCGAACATGTTTCATGATTTTACGCAATCTTGGCGATTTATGACAAACTCCCTGACAAAATATTTGCATATTTTTCGGTTTGTGCAGTGTTTTTCATATTGTGCGCATGGGAAAAATGGAGAAGAAAAATATCGCGCGCGATTCCCAAGGCGGGAGTGTGCTTCGAACGCATTGCAACACAATTTTTCTGCAAGCGTTACAAAATGTCACTTCTTTCATGTTATAATTACGATGGGAAATATTTTTCACATCGCTCATTCTTGGTCTGCGTGTGCCACAAAAATACACAATGCATATAGTCGGAACTCTCGTGAAATATTTTTCGTCTTTATTTAATAATTGTGTACTTTTTTTTTCGCCACACAATTCGCGCTGTATTATTTGTAGAGAGAAAAAAAAACTGAAAGTAATCCATAAAAATACTAGTATATGTGGATGCATATCTGCGTTGTATAATGCAGAAAAAAAAGAAAACAACACAGCAGCGAGAAGAAAGCAAAGAGAAGTGAATTTACCTGTTCAATGATCACATGAAACTGGAGGTATTATCAGTGACTTGTCATTAAACCGGAGAATTGCAGTCAAATGATCTCTTTTCTCGCCAGCTGTTAAATTATTATTATCATCGTTACTCTGCGTGGCCCTGTAATTATATCTCGATCCTCGATCAGTCAGATTCCGATGGCAATCCATCAAGTTTGGCAGTTAAAAAATTCAACTTTCAAGGTGAAAGAGACCGGGAACGTGTGCTTTGCTTTGAGAGGGATCAGGAACGAAGCATATAAAATTCTAATATGACTTTGTTGAGTGCCGCGGTTATTTTTTGCCAATCTCACAGAGAAAAAACAACCAAGGCAAAAGCGCGCAATTACCACCCGAAAAGCTCAAGTTCATGGTGCACAAGAGCTGCCAAAAAAGTTGTTTTCCATCCATGTGTTTTTATTTGACACACAATTGAAATGCCCCATTGATGGCATTATAACAAGTCAAGAGTAATTGTGAGTTGGGTTTTGAGCACGCAAAAAGACTGGAATTATGCTGCTTCCTCGATCAGATTCCATGTTGCGACTAAAGGTTGAGCGCGCGTTGGCAATTTACTCTTAATCCAATTTTCCTTCTTCTTATTTCGCAGACAAAAGTGGGAAAAGGTGGATATTGTGGAGAATGACAATGGAACGCTGAGCTTTAATGCCAAGAGGGTGTATATCTTCAGTGAAGAGCTCTCAGGTGGCTCAGAGGACGATGTTGTAATAGTGCCCAACATCCCCATGTTGAGTGCAACTTCACAGAGCAAACATGCTGCAAGGTGAGTCTTCAGCCAAGTCTATATCTCAATTCACCATCCAGAGTTGCGAAATGTCCAGATCCTTTCCTTTTACAACATCGGAAATTGTTTGCATACTGAAAATGTTATGAAAATACGACAGTTTAATAACATTGCGGTGTTAATTGTTGCGAAAATGACCGGAAATATTTAAAAACAGCTCAAACATTAACAAAAATTGATGGTTTGAAAGCATTTTGGGTAAATATTCACACTCATAAATAAAATATTTGGTCTATAAAATACTCCGCAGAGTCTGAACTCAACTCTGTTGTGAATTCCATTAACGGGCGAAGAGTCTTACGTTCCGATTCCATTGTAGATTCCTGCGATTGGCGATGGCCAGTATAATGGACATCCTGAAGATTAAGCCCTTCGTGGAGGTGTCCGTGGGCCAACTGCTCTGGGGCTACGAGGATCCACTCCTGAAGCTGGCCAAGGACGTGGTGCCGAAGGAGCAGAAGCTGCCCTACGAGGAGTTCGGCCTGATGTACGGCAAGAACAGCACCTCACGCGACAGAGTGACCATTTGGTCCGGAGTGGACGACATCAGGCGCTACGGCATCATCGACAAGTACAACGGATACTCGCATCTGCCGCACTGGTCAGAGGAGCGATGCAACAGACTCAATGGCTCCGACGGCTCAATTTTCCCGCCGCACATCACGAAGAACACCACGCTGTTCGTGTACGAGAAGGACCTGTGCCGCCTCATGCCGCTCACGTTCGAGAAGGAGGTCAACACGAAGAACAACGTGCCAGGATATCGCTTCACGCCCACTGAGGACGTCTTCGCCTCGGTGGAGAACAACCCCGACAACAAGTGCTTCTGCCCCTCGGGACCCCCGTGTGCCCCTCACGGATTCTTCAACGTTTCAGCTTGCCAATTCGGTGAGGAGAAAAACCCCCCGCCGCAATCGCTATGATGACACGAACTCACACTTTCGCCTTATAATATTTTATAATAACCCTGATAATTAACCCGGATCAAATTGTTTGGTTTTATAATCGAAGCCACACAGTTGGATCAATTTGCCTCAATTGAGATTTCATTTTGGATGATGTAAAATTCCATAAATGTTGTTATGCAATTGATTAAGTACTCAATCAAACACATATATTTGCTGGGCTGAGACATTCTTGGCCAAATGCTTCTGACAGACATGTTCAGAACCAGAAGTTGTACTGTTTGCCAATACATTTGCTTCACGGATGTTTGTCAAACATGCTATTTTGTGGCAAAATTCTCGACCAATATTTAATTGCCTTCAATGACTCAGAGAATAGCAGAAGATTCTGAGAATTCTACTGCATCGACGCACTTCCATCGCAAAACAACATGCAATTAAAGTCAGTGGGACAAAATCCAATGCGGAATCTCTCATTGGAAGTGATGTGAGACGCTTAAAAACAATATTCCAGCAATTAATCATATTTTGCTTCAATTATGCAATGCGGAGGAGAGAGAGAAACTGTAAAAGAGTATTATATCATGGGCTAAGAGATGTGAACAATGTTTTGTCTGCAGATTCGCCGATTCTCCTGAGTTTCCCGCACTTTTACATGGCTGATCAGACATACAGAGAGGCTGTTGAGGGAATCTCGCCACCTGAGAAAGAGAAGCATCAGCTCTACATCGACGTCCAACCGGTAAATACAGTAGTTCTGCTTTAATGCTGCAATGTTTCAAGTTTCAATCAAGGGGGAGATAATACAGCCAGAAGTGGTGTACGGCTCAGCAGAAGTACTTGAACCTACAATATTACTTTCTTGCGTGCTTCCTTTACTGACCAGTCATCCAGATTCTGTGGGTTTCCTTCGATTTTCACTCAGAAACAAACGAAATAATCTTTTTCTAGGTTATGTAATGAATTAAGGATAAATTTAGTGAATAATTCGCATTCTAGTGCATAAATTCTGCTAGTTCTTGGTGGAATTAAGTATTCACAAGCAATAAACAGTGCTTTATGATCCTTTGTTGCCAAGAAACACTGCAAATTGTGTTAAGATTGAACATAACCTCAAAATAGTCAATTGGACTTGAAAAATACCCATTTAAACAACTTTTTGGACAATTTTGACTGTGAAACAGTAATTTTAGGATCATAAGAGATGATTTTCTTATCTAGAAAGCTTTCAAGCAGAGTATTTGGAGATCTTTTGGTTATATTTTTGAGGTTATGGTTGGAAAAGATGTCTAAAAACAGCGATTTTAACCCGATTCTTGCAGAAATATCGAACAGAAACTTAAGAGATTCATTACAATTTGGGAATCAATGTGGAAAATGTGTTTGGAAGTGGTGTACAGATTGACGGCATACTATCTCCCCCTTGCTTTAGATAGATGATTTGCAATTAGCGAGAATTTTCATGAAACCTCAAGCCCTTCCCGGGCAATCGCTCATGTGCACTGGTTTGGTCACTCATGCGAATCCCACTCTGACCGTTGCAGGAAATGGGAACAGCGCTTCGGGCCCGGGCTCGTATTCAAATCAATTTGGCTGTGAGTCAAGTGGTGGACATCAAGCAGGTGGCCAACTTCCCCGACATCATCTTCCCCATCCTGTGGTTCGAGGAGGGCATCGACAGCCTGCCGGACGAGGTGACGGACCTCATGGCGCTGGCCAACACGCTGCCGCCCAAGGCGCGACTGGGCCTCATGATCGCCCTGTACGCCCTGGGCGCCTTCCTGCTCGTCCTGGCCGTGACGTGCCTGGTGAGGAGTTCGCACCGGCAGAGCACGCTGCATTTAGATTCGTCCAACTTCCTCGCCACGGCGTCAATCGATCAGGCCAAGAAGAAGTCGAAGATGGACAACAAAGAGCGATTTTAACCCAATTTCGTGTTAGGTAGCCTGTAGGAATGTGTGTAGGACTCACCTCGATTTGAGACATGGAAAACAAATACAGTAATTACTGGTGTATTTAATTAAGAGTGGTATTTAAGGTATTCCAGATGATGTGGACAAGTTTTATATCTTTTTTGATAGGGAAATTCTAAGTGCAAGTGTACAAGAAATTACCATACAATCTCAATCCTCCTTGCATCCTTGCATCCTTGCCCATCCTGTCCCAGAACATCTTATAAAGCATTCGCACCTTGCTCACTCCAAAGTCCCTCTTTTCACACGTTGCCATAGTCGCGCCCTCACTTTCCCAATTTCCAACCCTCAGACAATGGTAATTTTCTCCATAATTTGTAAATAATTTATAATTTTTTATCACACTGTAAAAGCCTATCTCTATCGTGTTAGTTAAGAAAACAGGAGAAGAATAAATTGACCATTAATTGAATGGTTGAGTGAGTAGAAAACCACGAAGCAAAGTGTTAAGATCAACACTGTGCAATATAAATCCGTCCAATCTAATAATTACCGTCCAATTTTTTTCATAATGATTTGTGTCTTTTTTAAATGTAACGTAAACTCAGAGCAAAATATAACATTTCCCCCTTTTTCATATTTCTCTAATTGTAATATTTGTACATAATACGAAGAACAATCCAAAAGAATACTAAGAAAATAGTGTAGCAGAGCGATAAATCGCTGGGAAGTGAACAAAAAGTTGTTGAAAATTATGAAGGATTTCTCCGGATAATATTGATAGAAAAAATAAGATTTGTGATAAAGTTGGTTTTTGTTTAATAAATACTGTAAATTCACAATTTTCTCTGTGTGTCTTTTTATTCGTGGAAACCGAAAAAAAAATCAAAGGAAAAAGAAAAGAATGTTTAGAATAGTAATTTGTTAACATTTTTCTTTTATTATTGTTGGTCTAATCGATCTATTTACACTATTTACATCGTTTTCACAGAATTAAATATGACTCTTTTTTTTTCTTGTGGAATCCATCTTCATCATATATTATAACTTTGAGAGAACAGATTTCCAAACAAATTGAACAATTCCATTAGGAAATTTCTCTCCATTCATCTCCAATTGTTATCAAAGTGAAATTCAGCCCTAAATCAATAACCCTCTTCAGTGTCTCCAATAAATATTTAAAGTTTCAAGTGCATTGTTGGCATGAATCCCTCTTTCTCCCTCTCTCTCTCTCTCCCTCTCACTCGGGAGGCAATTCGCTAATTTACAAACACTTCTATGTCGAACTTTACATAAGAGATGATATTTGTTCTATTAAATTTGATTATCTCTTTGTTTAGCCTAACCTCATCTAGATAGAAATAATTTGTGTGGTTCTTCAATGAATAACTAGCATAAATTTAGAGATTCTTCCACTTTACTTCTCGTCTAATTTTTTTTCTCAAATAACATTTTTTTTTAAATTTATTTATTTAATCCCTCTTTGAGTGCAATTTCGTCAAAAAGTAGTTTTTTTTTAGTGTGTTTTCTTTAACATTTCAATAAATTTTTATCAATTTGATTTTATGATGTTAATAAAAGGTTATTTTAACAACTCGTGTATTTTGTTAATGTTTTCCCACCACTCAAATACCTTCATTACTTAGTGTTAACGATTTTAGTTTCACTTCTGTTAATGTTATCTCTTTTGTTATACTCATTCGCCATTCCATTTGTGCATCTTTTTTTCACACGCACACATCAATGAAAGGTAAATCCACTTGGCAGTATGAAAGTATCAATAAATAACAAATTTCTTCCCTCTCTTTTCGCTTTGTCATCCTGTTGGCTTCTTAAGTGTCATGAGATAAAGGCGCGAATTTACAGTGTTTTCCTCACCTGAAGGTTTTTTCCTTTCAATTTTATCATTATACAAAAAATGTTTTCTTTTTTTTTATCATGAAATTGTGCGATAAAAATATATCAATCGATATCTCTTCTCTTAGTTACAATAACACTATTTTCTACTAATAAGATTCTTTATTCCCTCTGACTCACCTTGATCTTTATTTTTCTTTTGATTAGGATTTGAACGTCAACGGATGTTTTTACTTTGCTCGAAATTTTTTTTTAGTGTTTCTCACTTTTTGCGAAAATCTTAAGCCAAATTTTTTTTTATTTGTTTTCTAATAAATTTCAACTCTTCTTTCATAATTTTCTTGTTTATAGATTTTTTCAGCACTAGTAAAATTTTGAAATTGACAACCATTCACTACAAAATTGTTTTTTTTTTAATACTTCCTTCTTGCTCTACGAGGGGGATATATTAATTCTCAATCGCTATACTAAGTTTCTTCATTTTAAAAGGTGTTTCAAGGCTAAAGTTCGTCTCTTAGAGAAGTTAATACATTTTTTTTCTTCTTAAATCTTCATTCAATTTAGTAAAATGTTTTGAAAATCATAGATGCCCTTAAAGTGTGTCATCGCGCAATAGAATTTATCATTTTTTTCACGCCTAATTAGCTAATATAAATATTTCAGCTAGAGTCTAAAATGGTCGTTGCAATTGTATATTTCATTTAATAGCTAACAAGAGTTGTTTCGCTCACGAATCGCTTCCTCAAATTCTTCCTAACTCAATTTTATTTTTCTCTTTATTTTCATTTCAAGCAATTTAATCTAAGGTCTTCGTCTTTTGATTATATCTTCTTGTTTTTTTCTTTTGAATTAATTTGTGTTTCTCTAAGTTGATTTCTGCCTCACTTTCATTTTACTCAATATTTTTTTTTTATTCCTGCAAGCAAACTTACCACTAAGGATTTCTCCTGAATCCACCACAGTTTCTAACAAATTTTCCATCCCCTCAAGCACGTGGAACTATGAACAAGTTGTCTGACGAGGATGCCCAGAAAGAGTCCTGCACAATTGTCGACGGGCCACTCCCGATTGTCACACCAGGAGTCGCCTCTTGCGCGGTGCAATCAAATCCATGAGGTTTCATCCTCGTACGAATCCTTCCGTCAAGGGGGCTCGGGCGACTGTATCTCCTTCTCGAGGTACTCGTGGATTTCGTCCTGCGAACTGTGCGAGAGCCTCATCAGCTCCTCCCTGGACAGGCGCTCCAGGGAGTACTTCTTGCCATTGGTTTTTGCGGGGGTTTTCGGCGCGCGAGTGCACTGAAAGGATCAAAGAATTCAATAGCAACCAAATCACTGTCTAAGTTAATTTCCCGCCCACCTCGAGATCCCTCTTTGTCCTGTGCGGCGAAGGAGTCGCCTGCTGACTCCTCGTCGCAATGTCCAGTGTATTCCTGCTCCGTGAAGTTGTCGCTGGTGACAGATCCTGCTGCTGCGACAGACTCCTGCGGACTTGGTTGCTCTTCCTGCTCCCGCCGTACTTCTCCTTCAGCTCCTCGTGCAGCTTGTCCCTCAGCACTGCACTCGCGGGCTCCAGGATGCAAATGGGAGGGGCCAGGCGCTCCTTGAGTGGCGTTATGGCATCGAGATTGTCCTGCGATCTCCTGCCCTCGTACACATCCAGATTCAGCGGTGTTCTCTTGTTGGAGAACTTCTTCCCAATCACATCAGGCTCCTCCGGCAGACTGCTTCTAGTCCCGCTGAAGGTGTCAAACTTGGACGACGACGCGCCCAGACCTTTCCCGAAGGTCTCAAATCTGTGACCAAGGTCAGGAGGCGAGTAGGAGATGTCTCGGCTGAGCCTCCTGCCAATTGTGTCCATTCTCTCGCCCAGAATGCTGTCCGTGCTGAAGCGCCTCACGTTGAGTCCCGACGAGTTGGAGCGCGAGCGGGAGTCCTTCTTGGCGAAGAGCTTCGGCTTGGGACTCACCTTGGGATGCTTGGGTGGATTCTCGTGCGCCGCAGCCGCTGCCATCTCGAGATTCGAGCCAATCTCCTCGACAACGGGCAGCGGCGTCTCGCGCTCCTCCTGCTGCACTCTGGACAGGAAATTGATTCTATCAGGAAGAGAGTGAGTTCAGAGCGTGGGTGAATCGAGAGGTGGCCAATTGGGTGGTGAAGACTATCGACACTACACTGATAAGAGCTCACCTTCTAATCTCCTGAATCATCTCGAAGAATTGCGCCTTGCTCTTCCTGCGGCGACGTTGTTCATCTTCCTTCTAGAACAAATTTCGATCAAATAATTGCTCCTCTTCACCCACGAAACAATTCACATATATGAGGGTAGTTTGAATTTATTCACTTGTTATGACTCTAGGCGTGGATATTTTGCAATCATCCCTCTGGGCAATTAAGTGGATTGAAAAATATCACGCGCAGAGTCTTTCTTAATTCTTCTAATCCGCCGAGTCAATGGGGTGTTTCCCCTTGAAGCATTACATTAATACGCACCCTCTTTATACTCTTCTGGAACAAGCTGGCAATTTGTCCCTGTCTCAGCGTGTGCACCAATTCTCTAGCCGCATGATGTGGCGACACTAATTCCACGCAATTAATAAATCGATACAGTTTCTGCAAATGGACCGAAAGAACATCACTTGCGGAGCTGCAGCGCCACACACACCCACTGTATACAGTACCTGACTGAAGAACATGATGTTGCGACTCTTCCACACTGTCCCCTTGGGCTTGTGCCTGAGGATGGGCAGGGCGTACTTGTAGAACCAGTGCTCGAAGATGAGGATGAGACAGCCGAGAATCATGCCCAGACCGAGCAGAAGAAAAACTCCCGCCACGGCGGCAACTCCTGCCGAAAAGGGGGTGCAAAAAGAGCGAGATGAGAATCATCTAATGGTGGTCCTCGGCATGGGTTTTTTTTCCTTACCAAGCGGACGTGGTTGAGCAATTTCAATGCCCAGCTTAAAGCATGGCAGGCCACCATACCACTTCTCCGTGAGGATGTCCAAGTATCCATTACTCGAATATTTTGCTATCAGTGCCGATATTGAATCTCTCAGAGGGAAGCTACACATCCATTTAGTCGGGGGGTGCGCGTTTGGGGGTGAGAAAGTGAAAGAATATGTGAGTGGGATGGAATGAATAAGAATCATGTGAATTTCTGCCAAATTTATTGATATTGTCGACTCTGGCAATTTTTCCATATTTCCACCCTCTGCGACTACCCCAGTGAAACAAAGGCTTCGTGCAGAGATTCTATCTGTCTCTCCGAATGCACTGAAGCATAGAAAGTGAGTTTATGAATACGGCAAATCAATGAAATCCATCAACTCTTAAAATAAGAGAACAACTTTTACTTCTCCATCGAGTGAAAAACACACGAAAATCCATGTATTTCACAAACATCGAGTGCCGAAACCCTGGTGCAATGTTAAGAAATACATCTTGCTCTCATGACCAAAACATGATTTCAATTTCATCCACCAAAATGCACACTCTTAAATTCCATCTCTTGTGAAACTCTCTCACAATTTTGCCATTCAATTTGCTGAATTTCGTCTACTGTGTGTGTGTCAACAGAAATTTGTGCACAATAAATACATGGTTCGTCAACACTCACCCCTTTGTCATTCCAATGGCATAAGTGTCTTCCACGTACGTCTCGCCGATGCGCTGCAAATTGCATCCATGATCGGTGGCGCGATAGTAATCGAGTATTGGTGTGTCTGCCATGAGCAAGTCCAACGAGCCATTTCTGGTTTTGAGTGGAAAAGTGCATTTATGAGACGCCCTTTGGGGCGAATTTCAATTGACAAAACCACATTTTGTCACGTTCAATTCATACAAAACTTCATGTAATTGCATTTATTCGTGGTGAAGCGAAACATCACGAGAGAGAGAGATTATGCTACTCTGTGGTCTTTCATAATTAAATCACAGTTTTAATTTAAAAAAATACACAAAAAAACGAGTGAATGAGGCTAAATTGTTACTCTAAATCTCCTAAAATCTGCTCTTCTAAAAATAAAACCACATCTTTTACACTTCCCACATCGTCATACGAATTAAGATATACATAAAATCGCACATATCAAGGGGGAGATAATACAGTCAGAAGTGGTGTACAGCTCAGCAGAACAACTTAAGAGAAGTGAAAGTGTTCAAAAACTTACAATCTTCCTTTCCTACGTGCTTCTTTTACTGACTAATCATCCTGATTCTTTGAATTTCTTTTGAATCTCTTTTGAATTGTAAGCAGAAACAATATTTTTCTAGGTTATGTAAGGAATCACAGCATTTTATCACATCAATTCTTATTCAAAAGTCACCAATATTGCTAATTATTGGCGGAATTAGGCATTTTCATGCGATAAATATTCCTATTCTGAAACTTTGGTGCCAAAAACACTACAAATTGTGTTCACAAGTGAAACCTAACCTCAAAAATAGTTATTTGGATTTGAACAATGCTTATTAGAGCAACTTTCTTGATGATTTTGACTCTGAATCAGCAATTTTATCACCTAGAAAGCTTCCAAATTGAGTTTTTTAAGACCTCTGAGTGATATTTTTGAGGTTATGGTCGGATAAGACGCTGAAAAAAGCGGTTTTGAGTGAATTTTTACTCAAATATCGCATGAAACCTTAGGATACTTATTATAATTTGCAACCTATTTTGGAAACACTTGCTAGAAAGTCATATTATCTCCCCCTTGGCACATGTCCGTAAATTGCACGATTATCGTGCAATCTGCACATTGCTTTATAAATTACTTGCCCCTTGGGCTAATCCTCTCTCTCTGTCATGCTCTCAAATTTGTACAAGAGTGAATGTAATGCCACGCCACTTACTTTAAGCCACGAATGCCCTCCTCGATGCTCAGCAGCGAGTACTTCCGCATGTGCTCCCACAAGTGCTTATCGTTTTTCTGGATGTACGTCTCTGCAGCTGACGCGATTGGCGCTCCGACGCGCTGGGTAAGCAGCTGAGGGTAGGCAATCAAGTCACTAGAGAGTTTTTTCATTCATCTGATAGCAAAGGCACAAGACATGCGGGCGCCACAAAGTGCCGAACCCAAAACATTTAAATTGCTTCCGATGTGAGCAATATTTATCAAGTCCCATGAATGCACAAATTGGCAAAATATCTCCTGCATGTGCTGCGAGGGGAATTTTGACAAAAATATCTCCGTCTATATTGAGAGAGAATTTCATTTTGAACTTTGTGCATTGCAGCGGAAAATACAGCGCAGATCATGCATCGTTTCCTGCTGCAAGACTTGTCGACAGAATGACCGCTTTGGCGGCACAGATTCGCTGATGAATTTTCGTAACGCTTCGCGAAAAGTCTTTTGATGCAAAATCACTATGCTATATTGACTTGAGGCTATTCTAGATGGACTTCAATCCATGCATTTCGGGTAAAAAATGAATATTACTGATGAAGAAACACTCGCAGTCTGAAACTAGTGAAAGTTTCACTTACAATGCGTCGTTTGCAAACAGGATTTTTGCTCACAATCTTTGTGTTTCGAAGTAAACTTTCGTCTGATTATGCTTCGCGTGTTCTATTCAATTTTTTTCCCCTTCTCCGAAGTCATACCTCAAGAATTTCTTCATTGAACATTCAGCCAATCAATAAATGTCGCATGGTTCGCCCCATCATCTCCGCCTGTCGCTTTCCTCAATGGAAAATCATTTGGCGGATAATGTGGAAGTATCGTGCTATCTATAATCCCTCCTTGCAATTTCACTTGGATGGAAGCGACGGAGGGTAGAAAAAAGTTTATTCATCGAGAGGGAGGAAGAAAAAAAGAGGACAAGATTCCCGTAGATTCTGTCACATCATTTACTTCTTGGCGGAAAATGACACAAGTTTTTCCTCCAGCAACTGACTTAGTCGCATGGCAAAGTGAAGGAATGTGGAGACAAATCGCCCACGATATTCTCTCCTTCGCTGAAATCGTCTCTTAGCTTCTGCTTAAGAGAAGAATGGACAAGAGAATGGATAATGCGAACGGTATTGACATAAGTATCATTTGTGTGCGGGGGAGAAAAAAGGCGGAAAGTGAGGAGACTGATGATGGAAGTGAACTGAGAAAAAAGCCAATGGAAGACTTTTAATACTGGGCGATGAACATGGAGAATAAAACCACGAAGAATTAGATACATGAGATGGCAGTAAAAGCATCATTTCACCGCAAAAACTATCATTCACCGCATTCTTTTCTTAAAATGAGAAATTTACAGTGGAGAAAATTCGGTTAGGACACATATGAAATTTAGGCCATTTTTCGTTTTGGTGCTAAAATTCAATGTTTCTTTCAATTTTCGAGACAATTACCTTAAGACAAGAAATAACTAGGATTTAATTGTCTTTCAAATGGCGGTGAGATCATGATGATATCTCAAATCAGGGCTGAGATATTGCAAAATGCAGAGAGATGTGCTCAAAAAGACAGCAAAAATTAATTTAAGACACTGCATATTTTGCTCTAAATCCATGTTATAATCATAAAACTAACTCTGATAATCACATTAAATCATGAATTTGGAATGTCTAGAAGACATTTACATTAAAAGGAGCCTGGATTTGGACTTGTTAAATTGCTTTTTGTATGTTTTGAGCTAAAGTTTAACGTTTTTGTAATCATTTCTTCATGTCTTACGCACAACCGTGACTCAAATCCTGTTTACAGGTTTTCTATAAAATGTAGAATAGGAGCTCAAGTTAATCTTTCAAGAATAATCTCAAGAAACATTGAATTTTTAGCACTGAAAGGAAAAATGTCCTAAATTTCATAGGTGTCCTAACATAATTTTCGCTACTGTATATCAGATTCTTCCCAATTCACGTGCTAGTGAAATTATATCGGTTTGTCATCAAGAGTGTACGAAGAATTTGTTGGTTTTACCAAAATATTTCTGTCAGTGATGATGATGATGAAAAAAAATTGAAATGCGGTACGATATTATGCTGATGCTGCCATTTTTTCTTCCTTATTTCACATCAAGAGCAAGAGAAAATCTGTCAGTATTGAGGAAAAAGTCCTCCTCGAGATGGGGAAAAAAAATTCATCGTCAGAAAGCATGTGAATTGAATAGAGAATAAAAGGATTTTTCTCAGATGAATATTTAACCATCTTCGCACGCAGTCATTCTCAGCCTCCCTCCTGTTGGGCTCTCTTTCACTCTATCTGTCGCTCCATAACATTTTACGAGCAGCCCGACAGAGAGCGGAAGAGCTCAGCGTGTCCTCGTAATTAATCCTGACACATTTCGATAGGACCATAAAACGTATCTCATTTTTATCGTCCATCCCTGGGTCACTCAGGGAAAATCCTCTCCTTGAAAGCACCACTGATCCAATTTGGAGACGGATTTGCAGAGGAGGGCGAAAGCCTCCTTCAGTCCATCTCCTCGTGAGTGGTGAACAATAAAATGTGCAATTGTGAAGCACATAAAAGCTGTCCGGCCCATATTTTTCCATTCACTTGCCACACAATTTGACCACAAAAGAGAGGTCTCGCCAGGAGTTAAATGTGCCTCTCCACACCTTTTTCACACACATAAATACTCACCGATGCATCATACTTATTGGCGGCGTTGTGGAAGAAAAGACCGGCGATGAGGGCGGCAATGTTGGCGGTGTACGAAGCCACAAATATCACACTGAAGCCACCCCAAACGTTGATTAAGAACTTGTTGGGCCACGATTTGGGCGCTTTGAAAGCCACTAAATGACCACACAAGAGGCCCCACATCACCCACAGAGCTGAAAATAAGCGCACAGGATCAATTATCGGGAGGCTCAGCGTGGACAAATACTTGTGAAGTGAAGTGCGGTGTCGGGTTAAAATGTCGGGATAATGCAATTTTGATATTGAATAGCACAAAAAGCGCGGTGCGGAAATACACCACAATGGGAGAAATCTGTCAAAAATCAGTCAAATAAACATTTTATTGCGAGTGAAAAATTGCGGTAAGCCTCATTGTTACCCTCACTTGATATTCCCTCTTTGATGGCCTCAAATGTTTTATTGTGACATTAACGAGAGCCGTAAAATTTAAAACTTGATGCCATGCGATCAAATGGAACTCAAAAAGCTCTCTGTGAGAGTTTTGTGTCACTGTAGAAACAGTAGAAACTGTGTGCTCTCAAATTTGTCTGATTATTCTGCTCAAGGGGGAGATATTATAGTCAGAAGTGGTGTACAACTCTGCAGAAGTATTAAGAAGTGTCTCAATATCATCAATATGGTTAAAAAGCGTTAAAAAGCTACTTTCAAAAGAAATAACCGCAATTCTTGGAGAAAAAGAATTGTTCTTCTCATTTTTCTAGGTTAAGTTATGAATTTAAGACACACTTTTCCACTAAATAACATCAAAAATCATTCTTTCTTGCTCCTAAGCTGGTATAAATTCCCTTTAATGGCAAAATAATAATAGAATCTGATGAAGATTACAAGCTTTCAGTGGTAAACTGTGTTAATTATACGAAGATTGATCATAACCTGTAAGATATTGTTTCAAGATACAAAATTGTCTATTTCGAGAGCTGTTTGATTGATTTTAAACTCTAAAGTAGATTAATATTCCCCAAAATTGCCTTCAAAACATTACGTTTAAGATTCTTTCAGAGATTCTTCTGAATATCTTAAGATAATTTTTAGGTTATGATTCAAAGTTGATCTAAAAAAGCGATTCACATCAAAATTTTTGCTCAAAACTTCAAATATTTCTTAAAAACTGTTTCTCTGCAAGTTTTCAGACTCACAAAAGCAAAAATTTCGTCAATTTTTGGGTCAGAAGCCCCTAAATTTGAGGTTATGATACTTTAAGCGGTTGGAAAAGTCTATGAAGTTCGGAGAAAAGAGAAGAAAATAATGAAAACGCATGTTTAAAGCACTGCTGAAGTTCTGAAATTGACTGTGATTCTTCACAGAAATTGTGGAAGCCATATTATCTCCCCCTTGATTCTGCTGATAGTTCAAGTTATGTGTTTTAAACGAGAATCATCTTACTTTTGCTGGGCTTTAATATAGGGAAGTGAATTTCAAGAAGGAAGGGAGAAATGTGAAACTTCAGCTGCATATGTCATCAATAAGCTCACCTGAGGACATGCTGAAGTTTTTGCTGCGCTGTCGCCCCCACGGATTGAGGCCAAAGGGGCTGAGCCACTCGTACACGGCCACGGCGATGGCGGTGATGTTGAGCGACGTGAAGATGGCAATCCAGAGCTCCGGCGAGAAGGGCAGCAGGAAGGCCAGGAGGGGAATGTCGGACTTGGTCTTGGGCGCGGCGAGCAGCGAGACTCCGCTGTGGAAGTAGGGAACGCTGAAGTCGATGGCTTCGGCTCTGGTTCTGCAACAAACACAGTCACGAGGAGTGTGATAAATCACAGACAACACGAAAGAAAGTTTCCTCTTACTTGGACACGCTGAGGGGGGCAAAGGACATGTCCGCGGAGCCCGACACCAAGTCCCTGATGATCCCATTCCAGTGCTCCGATCTCAGGTCACGTCGGCCCGTGTGGCTGCGGATGTTGACGGGGTCAGACTCGTGGGCGGTGTCAATCCTCTGGCCGCCCCTCGTGAAGTACTTCTTCTGGTTCCTGCGCCCGAAGATGTTGTTCGGGTCGGAATTGGCGTTCAGGCGATATTTCTGCTCGTAGTCCTCCGCGGCGCCGCCGAGTGTGGCGCCCCCGAGAGTGGCGCCCAAGTAGGCTTGCGGTCCGGAGAACCTCTCAGCTGTCCCACCATCGCCTCTGTCCTTGTCAATGGTTGATTTGTGACTTGTGGCCACGGGCAGGTTCTTTGTCTCTTCCGCCACGTGATTGCTTGGGGATTTGTGTCCCCACGGCTGTCTTGGGGGCAATTTCGTGCCGTACAACTCATCACGTACAATGTAGAGATGAAACTCAAAGCCCAACTCCGTGGCGATGTTCTCCAGCAAATCCATGGATAGGCCGTAGCAGCATTTTGTCCTGAAAGCATTTTCCCCACACCAATCACTCCTCTTTCTCTCTCTCTCTCTCGCAGAATCGTCTTCATGAAAAATACTCACTTGTAATTGGCCTCACTCTGACGGTCCACCTCGTCGTTCTGGCCAGGAGAGTGACCTCTTCGGTCGACTGCACCCTTAACGAGGCGATTTCTCGTTTCTATATCATTGAACATCAACGTGAGATTGTGTCGCCCTGAAAAGGATTCGCCCAGACACATTATTTCAATTCAATTGAGTGGCTCTTTGTCTTGAGTGGCGCACCTGCGGTGGACAATCGGTGACAATACAGTCCTCTCAGGCACAATCCATCCTCGTCCAGGTCCGACTCCATGACAAAAGGTGGGGCCAGAGCGGTCACAACGCGGAACACTGAGCGCGGTCGTGCCGAGAGTCCCGACACCACAATGTCCCCTCCTGGCCACACTATTGTGTCCAGGTGCACATCCGTGCCGGACACCAGACCCACCCTGCGCCACTTCCGGCTGCCGTCGTCCTCCGGCTCCGCGTCCGAGCCGTACTCCGGCGACTGGCGCAGCTTCATGTCGCTCGGCACGAGGTTGAGGATCTCAAAGTGCGTCGTTAAAGGCTTCTCCAGCAAGCCGTCCACCAGGAAATTGCCCGACATGGCGAGTTTAGTGTTCTCCCTCAAGATTCTGGGGGGAGGAAATGACAAGAAATGTTCGCCATTATTCAAAGTCTCTTGCATGTCAGATTGCTAAATCACCATTCACGGCATCAGACGCTTTTCCATCCAACGATGTTATTCATATCTATAAAGTATGTTATTATCTGACAAGAGGATAAAATCACGAGCCATTTGCTGATGATATTTAGAGAAAATACAAAACTTTAATCTGGATAAATTCGTCTTATTTCCAGTGTTATTAAGAAGGGCAATAAAAGTTGAACCCTTGAAAGTCTGTTTGTTTAATCGACTTTGAATCTACCAATCGAAACCAATGCCAAGAATGTCACAGAAAATGCAATCCTTTCTCCCTCTCCAAAACCTATTGATTAATTAACTTTATCTCGATATATTTCTTTTGCTCTATTTCCCAAACAAGCAAACTTAGAATTATTGCTGGTGGCGGAGAAAACCATGAAATGGTGGGCAAAGTTGCTCTTGGTCGACCACTTTGAAAGTCCTTCTAAAAGTATCGTTTTCGAATTTATTTCCCAACTTTTCCCCCTCTTTTGAGGCCAAAGTGGTTGTATTTGATGATGGAGGAGTAAGGAAATTTCAAATGAAATCGTTTTTCAATACAATTTCATCACTTGTGAAACATTGTATGAAAATTCCAATCTAATTACCATAAGAGAATTTCCTCATTTTAAACCATTGTGAATAACGGTAACAAAAATTATGAGAAGGTCATAAAGAAAATTCATATACATTGTTGTGTAAAAGATATGAGAGAATTCCCTTTTTGCCACCCTCTGCAGATGGCATTTCTTCAGAGTATAATCAAAACCTCATTCACGTCAGCACGTAAATTCAAACTTTATTCACTGTGCGGGACAAATTGACGCTAAGTGTCGGCGAAAAGGGGGGTTTTTGCTGATGTGGTGTGTAATTGAAGTAATATCCCTAAGTAAATTTAATTGTGTCGACAGTTTCAAGTGCGAAGCTGCAATAAAGGCACATTCGCAGTAATTAGTGAGAAATACTTCTTGATTCATTAATTGGGATTGGGAGTGAATGGCAGAGGCTATAAAGCTTATCCATTGGGAAGACAACATCCTGGAGTCCATTAGCAGTCGCACCGAAGTGGAATTGGAATCAAATTTGCTGCTGCTGAAGAGGAAAAGTCCCTTGTCATGCCAAAAGTGAACAATCAATTTCCTCCCCAGACTTATTGAGACATCGAGCAGGTGAGATTTGCTCCCACTTTTGGCTCCGGGAATTCTATCATTTCTGTCCACACTTTCGTCCCTCCGCCCACATCCTCGGCGTGTCCTCACACCCCGAGTCCTCTGGGGTTTATTTATAAACATCCGAGATGTTGACAACGGTGTTGACTGCATAAATCAACAGTTAGTCATCGGCTTATGGGTAACACGAGGAGTAACAAATCGCCTCAACCAGAGAGCCCACTAATGCGACAGTATCACGAGCACGAATTAGCCTTCCAGTCACGTAATCATCCTTAATAGAATGAAAACTTCGATGGTCTTTTATTGTGCATTTGCCACGCATGGCCGGTAAAAGCGAAAGCTCTGCGTCACACACGCAAAGAGATGTTGCCAATCAAACAGTCCGAGTCCTCTCGCATCCTCAATCCTCGCCATTCGCACTACTTCCTGCTCTCTGATTGTCTTTTCTCAGTATATCGATTTGGGGACGAAACAGCGGGTGTTCCTCAATGAAATTGCTTCTCGGCACAATGCGAGGAGACGCTTCAAATCCTCCCTTGAGAATAATTCTTGAGCCAAAAATCAATCAAATTTAGCGCGCACACCAAAAGCCACACAAAAGCATAGATAAGGGCATTGAATATGATATGGAATCATGAGAATCATTTGAAAATTATGCTGCATTTGAATATTGTAAGACACTTTATATGAACTTTCAATTGAGTAATTTCCATTCTGTGCCTCAAGCTTGACATCAAGTAAGTGGAGAGGAAATAATTCAACTAGATATCATCGTGAAAGTTTAACATACAGTGACTCCAAATCAAATAGGGCCACCCGTGGCTCTGAGACATATCGATGTGCCGCGAATTTCCACGTAAAGCTAGAGATCTGAATTTTTCCACCAATCTTCCCTCATTAATAACTAATCACTGTTAAGGCCAATTACCTTGAATGTGTGGAAATATAGGTTAGAAGAGATGTTTTATGGGACCTGGACAGACTATCCGGCTCGAAGGACCAATATTCAGGTTAATTGATTAACTGTGGATGAACTGGCCGTAAATATCTGGCGAAAAGTGACCGTAGAGATGCAAAAATCAATTTTTTAAAAGATTTTTAATGCACCCGAAAAAAGATGGCTGCCGCTTGAAAGTTTCCCCTCTTCACTCGGAACGTGGCGCGTTTTCATTGGTGGGATAAAACTGAACGAAGTGATCGACAGTTTGACAGCGTAAATTTGACTGTCGTTCGTTGGCGCTGTCAATTACTTGTCAAAATTGAACCAAAGCAGTAATGAATTGTCCAACTCAAATAAGGTCACCTTGAATTGCCACTTGAAGATGTTTTAGGTTCTTAATGAGGTCTAAATGTATCCGGAGTGTCTTCAGGATAAATGTCCTGTTGATTTTCACATTTTATCTGAACTTTATAAGTGTTTTATATCAAAATTTAATGAAGTGAATATAAAGTTATGGGGCGGGAACAATGTGCGACTCCAGAGGGCCATTAAGGGATTAAGGATTAGGCTAAATGTCTTCAAACTTGGCATGGTAATTACTCATGAATGAGGGAAGATTGGTGGAGAAATGTCTCAGTCTCAGATTCTCGGGTGGCCCTATTTGATTTGGAGTCACTGTGCGATTTAAGACCACACAAGCACTTCCTCAATGGGAAAAGTGCTTCATGAGCAATGCAATTAATCGAGAATAGTTAAAATGAGATGCCAAATGGGAATTCCTATTATTCCAGAGGCCAAATAACCTATATTTGCGGGGTGTAAATTTCCAGGAAATTCCCATGGTAAGTAGATATCTTGCGTGGTAGCGAAATTGCTGTTTTCACATCCCATTTATTTATTTATATCCATGCAGCCATCAATGATTCAAGGAATGAGCTTTCGACCTATCAATTTTCTACAACTCCTCCGCAAAATATTGTATATAGGAGAACACCTAACCACTTCAGGCAGCAAATATGATTTCCTCCACTTTTCAACCCTGTTTCCCCACATGTTCACGGGTGTGTATTTCGTATAATAAAAATGAACTATAGAAATAAATTTCTATTGTGCATTTATTCTATACTTTGCATGGCACATTATCCGACAGAATTCTCTTCATCCCCATTCACAGACACACTATTTTTATTGGAGCACCTCTCGTGCAATGTGAAAGCTTTCAATTGCAGCGAAAAATTGTGTGAGCTTTTAGTTCATATTTCGCCAACTTCTCTACAGCTGTTGCGTGTGGCATTTATTCTCGAGAAGCTTTTGTGAAATTGATATTCCTGCGAAAATGGTGTTGTGAAATTTTGTAAAACAGGACAGCCAGGCACTTCGTCAGTGCTAAATGGGAACAGTTATTGCAACATATTGGCACACTTTGCCACTGGTGACCCAATTTCATCCCCCAACAGACGCTGCGACATAATGTGCTGGCCAAATGAATTTTAACTCATAATTGATAAATCGATTTGCAATTTCAAGCACAGAACACCGCAGACTATAATTTCGGTCTAATTAGATGAGTGTTTTCAATTTGGAATAATTTTGGGTCGAGCTCTCTTTGATATGACAACAACTTTAATCAGCAATTTTGTGATTAGATCGCAGCAAAAAGTGATGAAGAGGCTTAATATTTGCTGGGAATATTCACAATTAAATTTTATACATTTATAATGATCCACAGCGTGAGTGTCAAGCGATAGAAAGACGACGCGATGAAGTCAATTTATTCCAAAAGCTCCCTCATCTCCAAGACATTTGACGAGAAATCTCGGCCGATTAATAAGGGTGGTTATTTATGGGTCTCTACGTTGATCTACGCAGGCAAAATGCCTATCATGACCTCTATTAAAGCCACATAATGCGCAGAGAAGGACTGAAACGACAATAAATTAATTGAATATCCTCACAATATTGTGCTCTTCCTGCTTTCAGCGCTCTCAGTCTCCTTTTTTTTCCTCCCTCGTCTCTGATACACACAACAAAACTGCGCACAATATTGAAAATTTTCCCTCAAAATGACACACTTTCTCAACTTGTGATATATCACGAGGGGTGGTGAAAATGAAAGAGGAGTGATTGAGTGTGAATTTGGCGCTATTTTGAGATGCTTCATTCACACCACGTCTGTCATTTTACTGTATTGCGAAAGGCACCAGCACTTAATCGATTTTCTACGCATCGTCATCCTCCTTTTATCCTCTCGCCAGATGATACATCCTCAGGATTCGCCCCAGTGTTGTGGTGTTTCAGCGGGCTTTCGTGCACATTGACGCTCATAATATATAGAGGATATTGACTCACCTGGCAAAGTACTCCGCCCGGCGAGCGTCCACTCTGCTGGGGGAGCCGAAGCATCCCCCTCTGTACTGTGGCGCACTGAACTTCCTGCCCAATCTCTCCACAACCTGGCTTCTGGGGCGCCCCGGGGTCGCCATCGTGGGCTCCGTTCTGTTCAGCGACCACCAGGTGTTTTGCCTCTTGGACACGCTCACTTTCACGCTCTCTTCCGCTCGATTATTGCTTGTGTGATTAACATTTAAGCCACTTGTGTTTTCACGCATAAGTCTATTGCCTAAATCTACACTTAAGTCACTGTGGGTGGTTAAGGTTCTCGCCGTAAAACTACTGTTAACTTCACTTTTGCCGCTGGCGCGCCGCCGACGCGCCAGACGCCTGCTGGACCGCGGCGGGTCGCGGCCGCGCCGCGCCTCCTGGGCGACCGCCTCCAGCTCCACCGTGGCCCAGGTGTGCGCGAACAGGCGCACCACGGAGCGCACGAAGTGGCGGTCCACGGCCATCCGGACGGGCCGCAGCGCCAGGAAGCCCACGGGGAAGTCGTTGAAGTGGTGGAAGAGCACGTGCGCCGTGGCGTTGTGCAGGAATGGGTTGCGCTTCAGCTTGCCCGCGTCCGCCGCGACGCCGTCGATCGCCGCGCCGGCCTTATTGTCACTGTGCACAGGATTGAGGTGGATCTCGTCACTGCTGTCGTCGTCGGAGGGGCCGCTGTCGCCCTCGGCGTGTGCCGCGCCGCCGGAATTCGCCTCCAGAGACGACTCTTGCGAGGGTGTGTCTGGAATTTGGGGATTTCATGGAGATTTGGGGGTGATTAATAGACTGTCACTCGAAGCTATGCTCTAAATTGGGAGTTGTCTTTAATATCCGGAATTTTACTAGCAAATCCCTCTCAGTGAAGTCAGAATTGAACACGAAGCGTTTTCTGCCTCGTAAAATTCTCATGCAATTTAAATGCTATTCATGGCGAAGAGCACTTTTGACTGTGAACTAGAAAACTCACCAGTGGATGAATCACTTTCGTCCTCTCGTTTCCGCCTCACAGACTTCACCCCATCGTCCGCCTTCAGGCCGATAATTTGCCCACCAAACTGCCTGGGAAGCGTCCGCGACTTGTCCCTCTGCTTCTTCCTTGCACTGTACTCGTCAAAGTCCGACCGGCGCTCCTCGAGGTCGTCCAAGTGGTGCGAGAGTGTCCCGTCGACGGGGTCAAACCATGAATCACTCTCCCTCCGGATGGCGGCCGTGAATTCGGGATTCTCACTCTCCAGCTTCTCGCTCAGCTCCACCTCGGACGGCTGCGTGACGTCGTAGAACTCAGTGGAGGAGCTGGGGTCGGCCCACAGCCATATGAAGTGCCCCCCGACCATGTTGAGTCGCTGCGCCTCCGCCATGACTTTCCGCGCTGCCAACAAGTCACACAGCAGCAGGACAACTCCCCTCGTTGACTTGGACACTTGGGCCAATTGTCTGCAATGGGAGCAGATTTGACTCTGTACATGAGACCACAATCTTTTCTCCGTGGAGAGAAGATGGAAAACGACATGATCAGCAGTTATGCTAGACGACTTGTTTCACTTGGAAATGAATGGGAAAATAATTACAGAAATAATACTAAATTATGAGGACATTTATGGAAATTTTCAGAGCACTTATCACAGAATTAAGTCTCTTTTCATATGTATGTAAGAAGTCCTTCGAAGAGAGGCAAAGAATTTGTCCTTGATTCTGTCGCAACGATGTCTTGAGATAAGTTTATTATGAAATTTTTATCTCAAATTTTCAATCTTCTGTTCCGTGTGATTAATTTTTATCACGGATGTGAATAGATTAGTTCCGAGATTTGAAATGTTTGAATATACATGTTATTTGGCAATCAAAGCGCACCACACATAAATCTGTTTTGAACATTAATACAGCATAAATTGCGTTATGAATTAATTCATGAACCATACTTTAACATAATGCTATTGTCTATGACGCAAATTATACTGTTTGTGACTAAAAGCAAATAGTAGAGACTAATTAATAAATGTGTGTCCTCGATCATTATTAAACTTTGCTCATTAAAGTGCTGACTTCGCGTTTCTCAACAATACACTCATTGACAGACAATATTTGCACGTGCGGGAAAAATGGTGAAGTGAAAAACGGTGGGTAAAGAAGATGGAAAAGGCGGGCATTCTTCGTGGTGAAGAATTGAGCGAAGAGAGTACCTGAACACATCGTCGTTGTTTGCCGGAAGCGGTAAAATTGTAGGAACAAGTGGTGGATCTCTCAGTGGTGCACCTTCACTTCCTCCCAGCATCATTGACGCCTCCACATCCGACATGATAAAAAATGAATGCCAGTGAGTCTGTGGGGAGAAGACAGCAGTGGGATTAATGAAGCATTGACTGATGCACATGGGAAAGCATGCAAAATAATCCAATTTTCATTCAGCGCCTCCCATTCTCGCCGCGATATTAATTAAAAGTCAATTGTCATTGCTATTCTGTGTGAATCACACCCTCCCTAAAAGACAAACATAATCAGGAAAAAAATATTTAACATCCAAACTCCTAATGGGCGAAAATGAGCATTTAATGAGCTTTCGCCAAGTTCACCAGCACAAGTGTTGTACAAATGATTCCGTGCTGAACAGAGAGCAAATCTTCTGTTGCCATTTATCTTTTAATGGTATTCACCCTCTGGAAAATCAATGAATGTGGCGCCAGATATTTCGACCGTTGCCTTCTTTCCCCGCCACTCGATAAAGGACCAACTCTATGCAAGCGTCTCATCACGTTTATATTGTCGCTCTTGAGCAGCAAAACGTGTATAACCCCATTTATCGACAGGCGAAGGAATCTCATTTGCCCCCATTTACGCTGTTAGTTTCAATGGTTGTGCATAATTGCCCTTGGAAATGCAATTCTGTGAACATCTCAAAGGTGTGATTAATCCTGTTTCACCCCATTTCACATTTACCTTTGACAACAAACATTGGCAGTGTTTCAGAGATGCTCTCAAATTCCCCTCATCAGGAGAAGATCTATTGCTAGTTAAGGGATGAAACTGAGAAACATTCATTGCACAAAGATAACAAATATTAATTGAACACAAGAAGCTAATGAATATGTTGGTCGTTAATACATAATTCACAATCCTAAAGCAAATATGATGGTTTGCCTTAACTTCTTTCGCTTGTTTCCCTCCAAAACCACATAAATGTTGACCTTGTTCTTCACCCCATTAGATATTAATCACAAACATCTCCTGATTATCCCCAAATGTTTACTCCGACGCAAATGGGTGTCTCGAGCTTACCTGTAGAAACAGTGCTCTTATTGCTTCGAGAATTTCCTTCGAGGACGGTTGCAGCATCGCTTGAAAAGGTGTTTGGATCTGCAAGAGAGCACAGGATTAATTCATAGAATGTTTATCCTCATAGAAAATGCACAAGGTGAGAGAAAAGGAGTTTAATTTGAGTAAATTAAATTTGTTATGACTAAAATGCCATGAGAGGCAATTTGATCAAAAGTTGCACGTTTGCCTGAGAGGGAGAGAGAGGAAGTTTTCCACGACCAACAGCAATTAAATAATCGAGAGGAGTTTTTGGATGTGTTCCAGCAAAAGGAGGAGGTTTTCACGTGTGATAATGCCGTGATAGCGTTGGTAGAGGTGATACTGGCCACAAAACTACTCTGCATGATAATTATCCTCTCTCTCTCGGGAGTGGGAAAATTTTCACGTTTCTGCCATGAAGGCGATGGAGGGTCCTTGTGAGTGCGTGTAAAAGTGAAATATAATTCGGAAGGAGTGTGCTGGTTTTGGGCGAGGAGAGAGATATTCGCTCAAGTGGGAGAAATGTTCAGCAAACACAATTAGGGCAAAATTACCACTCCTCAATATCAAATTGCCTCTGACGAAAGGTCACATCGGATGGAAATTGTGCCTTGTTGGGAAAATAATACATATTTGATTGACTCAATGGCATCCACAAGACATCAACATTGTGTGACATGGAGGTGATGCTGAATCATATTTTGCTCCCTCACACTGTCACGGCTTGCTCCTGACCCAGTTTTCCCGGCCGCCAGCCACCCATTTTCATATACAATTTCGCCAAAATTTCCTCTCTCGAACATCTTCAAAAGAGCGCACTTCGCGCCGCACAGTGTTGTATTTCACACGCACCTTCACACTTGACAACGCAAGAGACAATTAAATTCCAAATACACTCCTTGAGGAGGCAATAAAAGTCGAGCCATAAAATATGCTTTCGTTGGCGAGATGCAAAAAATCTGCACTGACTCTTGGTTTGCACGAGTGAGAATGAAAGTTGGCGGGAAAAGTACTTGTGCAGCCATAAAAGTGGGTTTTGTGGGACTTTCAGAGGATTTTCAGCATTCACAGAGGGCAGAAGAAGTTATTGAATTTGATGGAAAAGTAGCATTTGCATATCTGCAGATGAATTTCTGATTGTGACTGACAGAGAAAGTTCATATTTCAGCAGATATTTTATGTCCTGACTTATGCCGTCAGTTAAATATTGAGAATCGGTGAAGAGGAAGTTTCGAGAGCTTTGGAAATTTGTTATTGAACGCCATCGTCGGAATTGCAATCGTCAATAACATTACAGCGATATTAACATATTTATGGGCTAATAGAAGTCAAAATTGAAATTATACTTCAAGACAGAACAGAAAATTCGCCTAGAAATATTCTGCAAGAGCTTAAAGAGATAATATTGTCAGAAGGATTGCAGTTTATGCAATATTTGGCTCACAACTTGGATTATTTTATTCTCAGATATTAATTTTTATCAAAGTCTAAGTTCAAGACTAAATAACATCTAAAAGATGAAATTTCTGTGCTTGAAATGAAAGCATTTTCACTTAATCAGTAGATTTGCGTACTTTTACTCACTGAAAATTGTGATTTTAGGAAAAAATTAGTTGCAATTTTGAGTAGATAGAAAATAGAAACTTAAAATGTAGGATTTTGATCGAGAAAAATACGCAAAAGTGCAATTTTATCGTAAGAAAATCATAAAATTTTGTATGAAATCGTGAATTTTTAAATTATCAGTTAGATTTCAGTTAGTTTTCGGTTAGATTCTCAGTTATTAGGTGATTTTAAGCTTAGATTTCATCCATATTATCTCCTCCTTGCCTTCTGAAAGTCAGTTTTTTCCTGTAAAAAATCATCAGCCAACTCGTGAAGCGATGTTTCGTCTTGAAGTCTTGTTTGATGCTCGAGGTATTTTTAAGGGGAAAAAACGACAAAGACATATTGCGTAATAGTGGTATTGATGGCATTCTGTCAAAAGTAAATATGAGATGCTGTGAGACTCTTGTGTAATGTATTCCGGGCGTGTTTGTAAAGGGAAATTCGATATCAGAATATGCAATGGGGACGCCAGGTGTTGTGAATACCAATAACTTCGCGATAACAAATATCAAATATTGCACTCTCTAACTCAGATGGACCATTCATAATTGCTAAGGAGTGCCGTGAAAGGTGCTGAGGAACTTTCAAATTGCATAATTTCACAACCTAATGGGCGATTCATGGAGTATTTAATGAGAAATTTTCGGGCTGCTTGAGCATTTCGAAAACTTTTCCCAGAGAGAGAGAGAGAGAGCTTTTCATATACATTGAAGTACGTATAATTATTCTCCAGTCCCTTGACGCCATCTCCGCCCATCTCCCAAAAAATTTTCTTCTCACAGCGAAATTTTCACGTTCAATTTCCCGTTTGCAAGATAAACACCACAAATTTTCGCAAAGATATGGCACAACAGAAGATTCCTGCAAAAATATCAGATGGGGCGAATTTAACTCAATTTTGCTCAGGTGAAGGGATATCATCCCACACGGAATCTGTAGCATTTCTCAATTAAACTTTGTGCCAAAGAAACATTCCGCCCGCCATGAAGAGGGTCGAAATATTTGCCCAGAGAAACTGTAAACACTTACACTGAGATTAATTTATTGCTTTTTCGGACTTTATTGGATTACTTTACCCATCCAGGGATGAGCCTTTCCCATTTCTCCCATGAGAGATTGTGTATTTTTCCTCAAAATTTCCACCCAAGATTCTTTTTTTTTCCACATTCGCACTCAAAGAGAATTTACCATGGGCAATGAAAGGGGAGTTTTTGAAGAAGAGAAACTTCACCCAGAGAGAAAATGGAAAAGTTGGATAAACTTTTGCATCAATTGAATCCTGATTTAAGCAAAATATTGTTTTTACATTTGACTCCATTTCCTTTTGAAAGGGCACACAAGAATCATCTTGTCTTTAACCACAATTTTGTGGTCGATTTCAGATGAAAATGCGCGTTTCCAATTTACTGATGCTTACAAAGGATTTGCATGAATTTATGTAAGCAGCTTTCCAGCAATTACACGACATTTAATTAGGTGTTGAATGGCTCTTCTGGGATGTTTTACATGAACACGCTGTGCAGAAAAAAAATACAATAAATATCCAAGTTCATTCACATCGATTTCGGAGCACTTTGAAGCCATTCAAATCCATCAATGAACAGTGAAATTGTATGGAAAATTCGTCTAATATCTCAATGAGGAATCTTCGAGAAGAGCAAAGTGAGTGAGAAAAAGTCTTCAAGAGTATATATTGAATCCCTTCGCCCATTGTTCGGTGCCAGACAAAAAGCTCTCGTCGGCGACAAATACGCATTCTTCTCTAATTGATTTCCATTAAATCTCCACGAGTGGCGGAGTAAATTTTTTGAAGGAAATGTATCAATCGCTTGTCAGCGGGGAGAAAAATAAGCAAAATAATGGTTGGGTGTGAGACAAGGGCGAGAGTGGAATTTATTATTGTGAAGAACAGTCATGATCCAGTGCGTTTTTCATCTCTGATTCTTGTACTATGTTGGCATGGCAACTATCGGAAGTGACGTAACGAGCGGGTGGGGTTGGCGCCTTGTTCTATTGGGGTAGATTTAGCCTAAACGGCAAAGGAGTTAAGCTTGGGGAGGCCTCGCGACGTGGGGAGATTGTTTTGCCAGAGTGGAACATCTTGTGTATATGAAAAATATGTGGGGATTCGATTGTCTTATCAACTTGTTTTGCCGCTCCACGACCAAAATGCTCTTCGTCCATTGTTTGCGCGTGAGAAACACTGTAAAATTGTGCTGATTTAGGAATATTTTCTCGCACCAAAAACCTCCATTTGGGGTGGATTCGCAGTGACATGAGTGCAGACAAGTGCCTTGGGATCATCGTGGGGCTTTTTGGATTGCTTTCAAGGGGGCAGAAAATCAATGATTGACTCTTCATCGAATCATTAAGTCACTGTGGCTGCTTTTACATTCTGTCAGAGGCACATTTCACGTAATTCAACACTCCAAGTCTTCACACTTCCGGAATACTAATTATCTCTTCCACAAAGTCTCTGGTATATTTCGGGTGTCTCAGTAGGAAGTATATGCGGAAATTGGACATTTTCGAGTAGCTAAGAATGACGTAACTCTCGCCATGGCTTCGTTTGAACATTTAAAGACAAACATAACTTGATCACAGCAATAAAGCTGTTCACTTTAAATTTTCCTTCAAAGATTTTTCCTTTCATATTTCTGAAAATGCAAAAAAAAACTTTTAATGCCGCGACTTTTCTTCCATTTGAAGCATACGAGGAGGGTGAAGAAGAAAAAAAACCACAAAAGCGCCTCAGTCCACCAAACTCCAAAGTTTTGTGCTTTCTTTCCATCACAAGCTCTCGCAAGTGCCTTCAGACAGAAATTTATTGCATGAGAAATGAGTGCCATTATTTCTGCAATTCAAATAGGAATGAACGAAAAAAAATTTTTACTCGTGAAATGGAAGGTATTGAGCAATGTTGCCAGTGAAGAGCGTGAATAAATAATTCTTTCCGACTTCCGCGATGGCGCGGATTAATACTTCAAATCCCGCCACGTAGAAGCTCTTATCTTGTATCATTTGGCCCAAATGGCCGGCTTATCTGTTGGGATATTTGTATATCTTTGGGGCAGAAATATTCTCTTTAAATTGCCATCTGACCCAGGCGTAATTGACCCTCCGTTCGATGGCGAGACGATTTATCACTTCCGGCCCAGGTGAAATGGCGGGAAAGATTTGCTCTGGAGACTGACTTTCGAGAGCATCGAGTGTGTGGACCTCCCTTTGTCACCCCCTGAGATTTATTCATCTGAGGGAAATTTCACTTTCACCTCCTTTGCATTATCGTGGCATAAGGTTGTGCCAAGTTCCAGTGGGATATAATGTATTGTCGGCCAGAGTGAAAAGGAAATTTATTCCTTATCGCCACATTATTTTCGCTGAAACGAATAAAAGATATCTTTTTTCTCTTTTTTTTTTGAATTCATGAATAATTTCAATTTCACTAAAACCGTCAGTTGGATTTATTCTATTTATTTCCAGTGTGGGAAATTCACATCGCTTTTCATGCGCGCCTTTATGTGATTGTAGCCTTTTAACCCGTGACACGGGCGTGAGTGTATTGTTGTGAAAGTTTCACCACCACAATGGGCCAAAATGGGTGGCACTTTGCTAGATTTTCCTATATGAGCAGTGAAATAAAATATAATTTTATTTGTTGTGTTTAGTTTGGCGGTTGAAAACTTTTCATCTCCGACTCCAACATAAATATACTATAATCTCCATTCATATTTTCCCCCCAACCTTTTGAGTCAACTTCTGTCGACGAGGGGCGACGAAATCAATGATTTGCCATCGAGACAATATATTGCCAATAATTTCTCAACGATTTTTCCCTCGCTCACTTCGGCAATATTTGATATTCACTAATTATGGCCATTTTTCAAATTGTTTACCAATGAGCAATTTCCGGCATTGGGAACTTTTCCGCCCCTCGACGTCAATCCTTCAACCACACACTCCAAGGGGGAGATAATACGACTAAACAGTGTACAAGACTTCCTGGCACTTCCACAATTTCTGTGCAGAATCACAGAAGTCTGAACTTCTGAATTTTGATGAACTTCATAGATTTTTAACAGCCTAAATTATCATAACCTCAAATTTAGGAGTCTTTGACTCAAAAATTGACGCAATTTTTACTTTTTTTACTCTCAAAATATACAGAGAAACAGTATTTCTAAAATATTTGAAGTTTTTAGTGGACATTTTGATTTGATTCCATTTCCAGTCTCACTTTTGGATGCACTTTGGAACATAACCTAAAAATCACCTTCAGATATCATGCTTTTAAAAGCTAAATTTGGAAATATTAATCTGTTATTAATCGACAATAAGCTGAAATTTTCTATTTTCGAGTAAAGAATCAATCAAACAGCTATTAAAATAGACAATTTTGTATCCCGAAATAATATTTTGGAGGTTATGATCAATCTTTGCATAATTAACACAGTTTAATATTGAAAACTTGTAGTTTTCATCAAATTTCACTGTTATTGAGCCAGTAAATGGAAATTATACCATATTAAGCGCAAAAATGAATGATTTTGTAGGTTATTTAGTGGCAAAAATGTATTTTAAATTAGTAACATAACCTAGAAAGATGTGAAGAACAATTCTTATCCTCCAAGTATTTGCGATAATTTCTTTTGAACACACTATATTGAAAATATTCAAGCACGTTTGCTTCCAAATACTTCTACTGACTTGTACACCACTTCTGACCATACTATCTCCCCCTTGGCAAAGTCTCATGGTCCTCATCATCAATCAACTCCCACGCTTTGCAGTGTGATTTCCGCATGCATGTTCAGTCAACCTGTCACCCAACCGACTATTTTTCTTCACACACCAAGGAAATCACGAATTAATTCAATGTTTTCCAATCCTTCACGCGACGAGTGCCGCCCAAAAAATATGAAAACTTTTATCACACAGCATTCTTCACAAGTTCTTCGCCCGCCCATCAAAGCGATATCTCGCCGTCATATTCGACTGTCTTGGCGCAGACGAATGACTGAAAAGCAGGGGATTCTCACCCTTGGGGAATATGGCATTTTGGCCCATTCTGCACTTCTTTCCATTCACGCTCGTGATTTGATGTATGGGAGGAAATATAAAATTCCAGGGGCGTTTAGTGACAACAAATATGACGAAGACGTGTCTTATTCGGGGGAATTTTTCTTCCTGACAAAATCAACGACCCCCAGTATATATCAGCAGTCGTTGAGGTGAATTCGGTGAAAGTTTCCACGTTGTGAAAATGCTGCTTCTTCACTCCGCCAGCGCTTTTCCTCAATGCAAAGAGAGTGAGCGAGATAAGAGCGAAAGGAGGAACGCAAAAGTACCCAGTGAATGGCTCAGAAGATGCTAAATTGTGCAAATAGTGCATTAGCATTTGACATTGAGTGAGAATTTGAATTTTTTACATCGTGACACAATCTCAAAAATGTATGTCTCTCAGTCACCGAAGAGCCTCACAACGAGCATTCCTTTATTTCGCATGCGGCGCGGAATTGTGAGGATTTCTATACAAGTTTCGTGACTCGAGAGCTTCTTCACGGTCACTGAGTCGCAAAGCGGAGCTTCTGTTATTCCTCGTGCATAAGTTTGTTAGTTCTGTTTGAATTCGGTCGAAAAGAGACTTTCACTATTCACTCTTTGTCCAATTTAAAAGAACCTTTTCTCTAAAAAACAACGAGAATAAATCTAATTGTTTTTCAAATCTATGCTTGACATATATATTTTTATTCCAATGAATTCTCAGTCATCCAGGCTGATAAAACATTTAATTTCAATCGAAATTGTGTCATGAATGTGTTATTATTTAATTATGTTTACACGAAGTAATTATTTTTTGAAATTATTCGATAAAACTGCGATAATTAATTCATCCCAAGCACTGATCTGTTATGCAAAAATTCCATGGACGTGACAGCATATTTGTAGGCGGATGAAAATGCATAAAATTCTGTGTTTTAACAATAAACTGACATAATCCCTCTTTGCCTGATCAAAATTTCATACGTATCGCATAAAATTATCCGCCATGGAAGCTTTTATACTTTGTTAAAGCTCTCAATGCCAAACTTTGTGCATTTTTTTGTGGTCCTTTTTGCAAATTAAATCTCCTCGTGAGTGATCAAGTCATCAAGAAGGTTCTTTTTTTTGCTGGAAAGTTGTTTTTGGGTCACACGAGTGACGGAGTTCTTTTTCTTGTGAGGGTTTTTTTTTGGGGGGGCGCAGAAGCATCATTTGAAATGATCCTGGGCATAAAAATGCTCAGAAGTTTCTGCCACACGCCGAGGAGCGGATATGAAGACGTGGAGGATGATGAAATGACTTTGGGAAGCGCGGCATCGATTTATGCAAATACACGTGAAGAGAGAGAGAGAAAAAGTTTACCTCTTTGTGCAATCCATTAAGGCTGGCGGTTCCGCCCTTGGCCCAGAGCACCGGCAGCTTCATCGCCGATCCGGACAATGCCGTGGCCCGAGCGGACTGTCCCTCGCCAATCACAATAATTCCAGTCAGTGGCTGATTCTCCGTCTTCTGGCACAGCGACGTGAGGAGCTTCGAGGAGAACCTGCCGAGTGAGAGAGAGAGGATGCGTTTATTCAGGAGCTACACTATAAATTATTCATCCATCTTTTTGGCTCGCCACTTGTCACACTTCTCGTCGTGTTGTCGCAAAATTGCCACTTTCGTCACGCCACCCCGAGTTATGTCGTCATAAGAGTCACTTTGGGTGCCGGAGATTATGAGCACAAGGTGTGAAAATCACCGGGCGGCTCCTCAGCCCACAGTTAAGCCGTGTCATTACACAAGACACACATTTGGAGCATCTCACACCCTTGAGCAGGAGAGCTCAGATGCGTGTTTGCACAGAAAGGTGTGAAAATTCTAGACTTTTGCCACTCTCAGGGAGAAGGGTAAAAGAATCCCTTCAGTGATCCGTTATGGGTTCAAGAGATAAGGACACACTTTCACTTTGACGTACACTCGCAGAAAAGGGCGCACAAATGAGGAAGCTTCCTGCGAACAGCAGTTCTGCATTAAAATACGCAAAAAAGCATATAATTTAGAAGTACTTTATCCTTTTTCTCTGTGTGCACGTGAAATTTTGGCAGCTTCACTTGAGCTTTTTGCAAAATTTGAATAATCAAACACAAGTTGGGACTTTCGAGCGCGAATTCTCGCTCCACAAACATCCCGCAGTGTTTTTCCATGTGATTTTCCAGCAACGCTATTTCATGTCTTTTTCAGTTCCTCTTAAGAGCCACACGCAAAGCACATTAATGCACGAAAATCTTAAATAATGTAGTGAGTGCTTCGTATTTAGCATAAAACCTAATTGACGGTGCCTTCTTCCTCACGATTGCTTAATTCAATTTAATCTCTTCTGTATCACACATTTTCAACCGCCCGCGGTGGAAAATGCTATGCAGATCTTGTTTGCTCGCAAAAAGGATTATTATTTCACATTCTGTATGCTTTGTACTTCTTTGTGGCTGTTGTTGGAGAATGCTGGAAATTCATTTAAAACATGCTTTCTGTCGGCGAAACTCCTCCGAAGAGCGCAAATACATATAGCGCACTTCGGAGGGCTCGATTAACTTTCTGGGCAAAAGCTCCAATCGGAAATTTGCAGTGTGGCGGGAAATAAAAACGATTGTGTGCAGAAAAAATAAATGATGATATAAAGTTTGTCATGGGCAGAGATTTCCACAATTTCTGGCCCATTCTTTCCGTCAGCCAACATTGTTTCTCAACTTTTGCAATTTTTTCCTCATTATCTGTCCTCGAGCAAGTGTGTGAAAGTTCTCTTCCTCTTCTCACTTTGAGGTATATTTCAACAGTTTCCCTCGCAGTTTCCTCCACAGAACACACACTGCTGGTGTAATTCTGCAAAAAGAACCCCTCAAGTTTTGTGAAGTTGACATGGTAAAATTGTAAAAATCCACAATTTATGCTCATGATGGTACATTCTTATGGGAATGTCAACTTGCCATGTTTGCCCAGCATCCTCCAGGCTTTACCACAGTGCATATCGCGTCTCAGTGGCTTATTGGAGTGGCAGAGAATAATCATGTTTTGCTAGAAAATCCGCGAATCGCTTTACTTAAGGTGTTTCACTAGGCGGAAATTTTGCATTTCAAACTCTCTCGGCTCGCCCAATTATTTCTGTATAGTTTAATAAACTGTTGGTTTTGGTCTGAAATTTAATCCTGCGTGGCACAGGATTAAATAATCACCACTATATGTAGTCGGACGGTTGACTTTGAATTAAAGTGAAGCTATATGGAACAAATAGTGTCAGTCTAAAATGCTCCCTTTGTGACGCTCTAATGCGATTAATGAGCTTTATAGCAATTCCCGGACGTGGAGGAACATCGATGACACACAAAGGATTGAATTCAGGATGCGTGGGAAGTGTCGTTCAGAATAACTGAGGCCCAAATAACGTCGGCATTTGATATCATGGGCAAATACTGTGAGTGCTGCTGTCCGATTTATATGGATTATTTTCGAAATTGTAGACCGAAATGAAGTAATGAAAAATTCAGCAGCCAATTTTCCATCAGAGCCACGTGGATTGATGAATAAGTTAGGCGCTCTCAACTGAAGAGAGATTTAATTGGAAATTGTTCGAAAATCTCATATTGAGAGTGTAATTTGTGCAAGATTCGTCAAATATATAGATTGGGAAAATTTTGAATTGGTGAGCAATTTGCAAAACACCTGCAGTTGCAGTTTTTCTCAGTCCCAATTTTCACTTGCACAACTAAATCTCCAGTGCTGAATCGATTTTTCCTCAATGCGCGCTTTATTCTCCGTGGAATCTCTCTCGCACCTGCATTCCATATTATACGTTAAGTTTGAAACCCAGAAGCGCATCGCGAAAAATATACGTATAATGAATCACAGCGGGAAGAGCATCTCGAGACGTTGAATGATTCGGTAATTAGAATAAATTGGGGCAGAGAAATGCGGGCTGAGATGGGGAAAAATTCCAGATTTCACATTACTCACACTTTTAATGACTCATGGGCGAGTTTATCTGGGAAGATGAGACTTTTTTTTGCCTCATCCCTCATTACGGTCATTCTCTTAGGGAAGGCATTGGAAAATCTTGCAGAATGTGTAGGCGCGAGAGGAAGAGAGAAAGAGAGAGAGTTTTTCCATAAGCAAAGAACATGGTTTTTGTGTGTCAAACCCCAGCCAGGATGGGGAGGCTCTCATTGTCCTTGGCCTACAGCTTGCCCCACCATCACAAGTGCCTCCCGAGTCATTTATCATGTTTGAGACAATAGCACGAGATAATGTATAGCGACAGATGAACCATAAATAATATGAGGGTGTCTCACACTCACGGCAGCCCCAAAGTTTTTCGCATATAATATGCGGAAACAGGAGGAAATATGAATAAACATTGTAATGAGTTTTCGCTTACAAGACATCATCAAGTTCCATCCTCCACTTGCCACCCATTCTCATTTTTCAATCGCGCCACGAGACAATTCTAATTACTCGCAGTTTTGCGCCGTGGCGTCAAGAGACGCCGCGCGCGCCGCCACCCCAACTCACCCTAATTGCGAATAATCACTGAAGAATATTTGCCGCATGCAAGAAGTGAGATTAATGATTTTTTAAATTGTCCCAGAGATATTTCGCCCCGGGGTAAATATTCGATAAATCTTTCTGGCTTCTTCATCATCACATTCACTGTGTTGATCTCAATTGTGCGAACTCGTGAGTGACGCCACGGGAAGAGGAAGAAATCCAACACCGTGAAAGCTTCATTTTAATCACTATAATAGCACGCAATTTATATTCAGACGGATGTGAAGTGAGATGAATCTCTGGCTGAGATTCAGCGCAAGGCGAAAAAAAATGATCCGCTCACCTGCCGTTCTGCGGGAGATCCACGTAGATGGGCCGCAGCACCGGGCCCTGGGGGCTACTGAACGGTGGTCCCATGTCGAGGAGGGTGCGCCCCAGGATGCGGCCCCACTGGCGAGCGCCCCCCGCAGCCGCCACCACGAAGTACACGGCGTCGGAGCGCTGAGGGAAGACCGGCAGGTCGGCCAGCTCCACCTGACCCGCCAGCGCCTCCGCCCTCGGCGGCTCCTCATCGTCGCTGGCGTGCTCCGTGGCGGCGCTCGGGGATGAGACGGCATGGCAGAGGAATGCAGCGAGTGACAACACATAAATCGACGATGCGAACATGATTCCCACTATGTCATGTGTACTGGCTCTCTTATCGGGCTCTCTCGCCGTTTGCCTGGTCCTTCTTCAAGCCACTGTGCACAAGCATGTGAGGATGGCTTCTGCCCTCACGCCATCGGACATGGTGTGCCGAAAGGGGGGAGTCGAGGCGCCCAAACACACTCTCTGTGGTCGGTGTCTTGAGCTTCTTTCTCGCCACCGCGCGCCACAGAGAAATCCGACACTGAGCACCGCAGCACAACACTATGGGAATTACCGAGAAAAAACACTGAGATGCAACCCTAAAGTTCTCTGACTCGTGCACGTATCATAAATAATCATGTGAAGTGGATGCTCCGCGATACTCGATCACGTCCATCATTCCTATCTTCACGTTCAACGTGGCACAGCACTATCATGAGATTCACTGTGAAAATGCCATTTTCACCATCACACCCCCTTCCGTGGCCTCTGCGCGATGCTCGTGAGGTCTGCTGGGGATTTCCTGCTGTGAAAATCCATCAAAAGTTGCCCCAAATCACCATCGGCCCCGATTAAATATGCAATTTTGGGGTCGCCTTGCCCCAAAACCGTTGCTCCTCCATCACAGTGTCGAGGCTCTGGCTGGCTGATCTGGGATCAGACGCTAAGAGGCCATCCATAGTGATACACAGGAGTCGCCCTCAAAATAGCACAGCATCCAGCGAAGGGCCGCTGGGGAGTCTCTGCCAAAGAGAGAGAAGAAGAGAAAGAAAATGAAGGGATAATTGCACACTTTCCTACCATCCTCAAATCAATGTGAAAGAGATGAAACTAATGGAAGTGTATTTATAAATTAATTACATTGCTACTTTGCCTCACTTAAGCTGCCTATTTAATTAATGACGGATGTCAATAATCTCATTTTCATCTCAAACCACCCACTGTGAGGACACGCACACACATACATGACTAATTGCGGAGAGTCACATTGTGAAATTTGCCAAACATCCCTTTAAAGTTACCCACCATAATCCATCCCAATCGATTTTCACAGCCCAAATCCCGACAACTATTCCACACATTCCACTCCCACCCGCGCATTTACCAAGGAAATTGAGCTTTTATCCATCTCCTTGACTTGGAGCGCCTCACAAGTCACTATATATGGATCATATGTTGCGATGTAGAATTGCTACATACAGTTTCCTCCCATCGATTTTCCCTTTCAGCCTTAAGGACTTTCGTGTTTTCACTCCTTCTCGCACCACACTAATCTTCCTTCTCTCTTTTCGGCTCTGAGGAAGAAGCTCGATGGAGGAGAAAAACCCACTGCGGGATTAAAGTCAAGGAGAGTGACATTAAATGAGTTCACACAGAAGTAATAGTCAATATTTCACGCTGCACTTCAAGACCCTTTGGGAAGCATCTTAAGAATTAACGGATGCCTAATTGAATTATACCACTGATCCCTTCAATTAGGACTTAAGCACAGAACAGCGATTCCTTCTCGCCGGATACAAAAAGAAAATTTAAAGGGAAAAAAATATGATTTTCTCCTTCAAATGATGATGATTTTCGTTTACTGAACTCCATTAATTCCTCTGCCAACATCCGCTCTCGCAATCACATGAATGAGTTGAGAAGTCGTGGAATCAAAGACTGTATTCGTGACAGAAAATTGACAAATATTTACATTTTCTACGTTACAAATCACTTTGTACACTCTATATATAAATTTCCCCGTGACTTGCTGCACTTCCTTTCTCCTCTTCGCGGCATCGCACTCAATTTATGCTGCAGACGCTGCTTATTCTGAGAAAACTCAATATGCTGGCGCTGTATTGACAGCAATTTTCATTATAATAAAATTGATTTTTCAATTTTTCCACACTCACTGGGCAAAATTGAATTTAACACTTGGCTCTGCAGAATATGCTGATTACATTTGCGCCAATGTTTCGGCAGCATTATCGGGGAAGTGGGCGAGCGGATTGGGTGGCAAAGGAGAGGCAATTGACGGCGGACCCGCAGCAAATAAGCACTGCGGGTCTGATAAAATTGTGCTCGGGTGCGGTAAAAGTGAGTGTATTGTGATAGAAAATGGAATGTGATGCTTGGAGGGAGCATTTATTGAAATGGTGAACAATACCAAAGTCATTCTGACGACCATCCACCCCTTCTGGGACCACCAATCGGGCGAGATATATTGGCGTTCACGGACGATACCATTGCCCATGGAATCAAAGAGGCGCTGCTGGGATGAGTCTTGGATTTTCCATTTCGATTTATTTGTGTGTGTGGCATAAGTCGTCCGAGAGATTTATGAGCTCTCCACCGACGAAGATGTTGGGGATGGCTTTCGGAGGAATCTGTGGGCCCAGATAATGTGCGCCTCGCGCGTCGGCATTTTTTGCACCCCAGCAATTTCCGCTTCCCGTGATTCGCACTGTCCATCAATTTCCACATCATTAATCTCCCATATACGCACTAATGGCACGGAGATTCACTCTCACCTCCAATCATAATTGGATCAATTAGGACGCACACGTTTTTGGACGCTCTCTCTCTCCAGTGCGCGACCACGCGAAAGTGCAGCCAAATGAGGGAAGATGAGAAGATATATCTTTTCATGGGCGAAAGTCATTTTTCCCCACCGCGATAAAAGGATTAGCTGTGTCACGAGCAAAATGCCAGAAACACTTGAGATGGGTTAGTGTGCCTCACACAGCGTTCACCCCGGATGCCAATTCCGCAAGAGTGGATGGAAATATTTTCTTCCTCGTGAAGACAACAGGGCAGCAATCCATTTAAGCACCCCGGGTGGGTGATGCCGAGTGGGTGGTCGCGTCACTTTTGAGGATTACACAGCGCATTTCGGGATGGATGGCGAGAGTGAGATTTGCTAAATGATAAAAGGAGCCGAAATAATTAAATACACCAGAGAACAATTACGGGTAATTCCCTCAACCTCGACTTTTTCCCCATTTTTCCCATTTTCCCGATGGACTCATTTCATTCTCGTCTCTCCTCATAGGTTATCTTTGAATTCCAGGTTAATCACACAATGTCTCCACATATTTGTACAGTCTTTTTTTTTAATTAATTCCTCGTCAATCTTCCTAATTCGCGATATCCCGTGGAGAAAAGTTTGCAACTCTCAGTCAGAAATCAAACATGCAACAAATCACAAGGAGAACCAAGGGGGAGATAATATGCTTCAAATGACTTCCACAATTTCTCTGCAGAATCTTCAACACTTCAGACACTTCAGAACGTCTTTTAAGGCATTTTACATCGCTTTTCAGACTCCTTCAACTGTTTCTCACACTGAATTTTGACTGAAAATGCTTTGAAAACTTCTGATCAAATTGTGAGGTTATGAATTCGACTTAAGAAATCCTTCTTAAACTAATTTAGATCTTTATAAGCCTAAAAATGAGTAAGTATATTGAATCTCTGAATACTTCAGATCAGATTAAGGCAAAAATTGCGAAAATAACTGAACAAAGAATATTCTTCTAGACAGAAATTGGATTTTATTGAGGTTATGATTGACTTTTAAGCTTTTTCTCAGTAAATAACAAGTTTTTTTCGATCAAAAATGCTCAATTCTGCGGAGAAAAAGTGTAATAATATCAAGTCAAGCACAGATTTGATGACTTTGAAGGTTAATAAAGCGACAGAATCTGTTTAAAATCAATTACATAACCTAGAAAAGCAATCAAAATTTGTTTATCTTATTAAAATTATACAGAAAATACCCCAATTTGTTGAAACTGAAGCTTTTTGCAGTGTAAATATTCCAAATATTTTACCACTTCCAATTCTCAAATATTTCCACAAAGCTGTACACCACTTCCGACCATAACATCTGCCCCTTGATGAGAACAAACTGCTTTTCCATCAACAAGAGAATGCCAATTGTGTAGGAAATGAGCAACTTTGCTTACGTTTCGATGGATTTTCTTCAAACTTTCAAATTAAACTTTCCCACTGCACTCTCGAGCGCGTTAATTGCAATTCCATGCGGAAGATTCAGAGAGAACTTTTGGCGAAATTCAATAATTAGTATAGAGAAGTGTCGCGGGGATGAAATTAAAAAAATCAAGTTGCTTTTCTCACAACTTTTCCACCATTCAATTGACATGACTTGTGATGGAGAAATTAGATTGTGTCAGGTGTTATTCCGACTCTCGTCAAAAATTGCCAAAGTGATTGCATCAGAGGAAATTCTATGAAGGACGCAGTGCATAGTTGGAGATCGAGGAAAAAGGGTAAACTCTGGGGGTAACTTTTCGTGTCGGTGGAAGTGCCAAGTCGAGGAAAAAAGTCTCAACACGGAAATTCACTATTTGTTCATTCATCTTTCACCAACTTCAGCACCCCTAAATGGCGGGGAGAATTCATAAACCACAATTCTACAGTCAAGTATGGAACTATAGAAAGCTTTTCTGGTTGTGTGAATGAATTTAATACTGAAAATAATTTGAATTCTTTCTCTTCACATAGTAAGAATTCTATAATTACACCGCAGAAGCGGCGGAAGACGTGTCTTCGGCCAGACGACCAGAGAATCCCAATGAGTGGCTTGACACGAAGAAGTGTGGAATAATCGATAAATCTTATCGAATTAATAAACACTGGGGGTAGATAATAAAACAATTTGCAGCGTCTCGTCATCACCACCCCCTCCAGAGGACCTCCTGTCAGCTGAAGCGCCCAGACGATATAAATGAATTGGTCTCACCACTCTTCAAGCACCCTCGCCCGTCACTTAACCCCAACTCTGGCCCGATTGTGAGTCCCGAGGACGGAATTGTGGCCAATTAATCACAAGTAAATTATTTCTCTCTTTCAAAACCATACAATGGACCCTTTCTTCTCTCAGCAAAAAGCCACCTTTTCCCCACTTGTCCGCGCCACAAATTTTGCCCTCGCCATATCGGAGGTAAATGAATTATGTTTCCAGGGGAAAAAATCCCTTTTCCGTTGCGAAAACGCGGTTTGTAAACTAAAAAAAAGAGCTCATCTGGTTTAAA